CAATTTTCTGCCTATAATTCCGCGAGTTCCTGGCAAGTTCCGCACTTTTCGCCGCATTTTTTGTTGTTTTCTGTCGCAATTTCTTGCGCAAGTTTTCGAGGATTTTTTCCGCAAATTCCCGCAGGGACAGGCCAATACTGCACTCGCTATTCTTACGCTTCAAGTTTCAGACACACCTTGACAATTCTGTGGTCCTCTCTAATCGCATTGATATGGGAAAACACAAAAAGGGGTATTGTCAACAATGCCTTTTTGGGGCAGGGCCATGTACCGTATTTTCCGGAGTGTATGCCCCCCCCCATTTTTGCCATGAAGTACAGACACCTACCCTATTTGTCACGCAACGAGCGGTGGACAAAGTGAAAGGACTTCTTGCATGTGATTTTGTTGTACTTTGTGACAGTCGAACTGTCTCAGTGTTACTAGTTAATCGTTAGCTTACTAGTTTGCTGTTTGAATCTGCGTTTGGTTTATTCATTGTTTATTTGACACGTCTTTTCTGTGTCTTTTGTTTGGTTGACGTCATGAGGTCCCATGGCTACGCGGACTGTACTCAGTCGCGGATCCTTCTGCAGAGCTGGCTACTTTTTCGGTTGCTTTTGGATTCCTTAATTGATGCATGTAGATTAGTGTAGATTAGTGTAGTACGTTGGCGTCGTTTGCGTCGTTTGCGCTGCTGTGGGTGCTTTGTAGGCGCACGTGTATGTGCACGTTCTGCTGAGGAGAGCGTTTTGGCTTTCGCTTGCGCTACTTGTTTCTTCGATATTTTCCTTTTCTAGTTAGTTGTTGTTCCTGCCGTGATGGATATTGTTCCTGTATCCTGTAAATATCCCAAACTGAGTTGTGTGAGCTTGTTGTCGGTTGGATCAAATTATGGCGATCACGCCAGGATAGATACGCTGTTTGGATCCAGTGGCGCTGACAGGAAGTGGCCACGATGCTCAAGGAGAGAACCAGTGAGGGCGCAGGATACTCGGCAGAGTCCGCGGGGGGACTGCTGTTGGAGGAGCGGTTGCTGCGAGTTGGTAAGGCCCTGGGTTTCGAGGGGAGCCGACTCGCGCAGTACGTGGAAAGAAAGGTGAAGGAGGTCAACGCTCAAAGGGAGCAGGCTATCCTATGGGAGGAGGCGTGTGCTCAACGGGGGCATGCGTTCCGAGCGGCCGGAGCGGAGTTGCGAGGGGAGCGCTCTGCGGCGGAGGCTGCGTCTACTTGTGGACTAGTAGACAGCAGTGCTGTGGGGGTAATGACAGTCCCAAGTACAAGTACCAGGATTACGTTTCCAAGGTACAAGGAAACAACGGTTGTGTTTGACCAAGAGGCGCGTGGACGACGAGCGTCAGTGGAGAATCGGTCCGTCGCTCCAACAACCCAGCACAGTGGACAGTGCGTTGGAGTGTCAGCCATGGATACGGCTGAGGTGGAGACGGAAATGAAGGTTGTCAATGGCAACAGCGCATTGGGCACAGAAGCCGGATGCACTGTGTCCTGTATCGAGGCAAAAATGGAACGGCGGTGGCAGATGAAGGAGCCACCACGTGTAGCGAACAATACGCGTGAGAACCCAGCAAAGCGGTTTGAAACGCAGTGCCTAGTTGTTTCACGGAGGAAGGCTAACCAACGACCGCCAGAAAGTGATGTGCCGGAAGCCATCAAGTTGATGAAAAGATGGAATGTCAGTCGCAGGATGCAGCGCCTGGGTAACGTGCTCAGGGAAGAGTACAGCGACGATGATCAGCGGTGTTTGGCACGCAGTCGTATTCATTGTGGCGTGCGGAATACCAGAGTCGATTGTGTTGTTCGTGCATTCGTTTGTTTAGGATTGTGATCCCCAGGAAGTCCTTTGGTGGGGAGTGATGTCACGCAACGAACGGTGGACAAAGTGAAAGGACTTCTTGCATGTGATTTTGTTGTACTTTGTGACAGTCGAATTGTCTCAGTGTTACTAGTTAATCGTTAGCTTACTAGTTTGCTGTTTGAATCTGCGTTTGGTTTATTTATTGTTTATTTGACACGTCTTTTCTGTGTCTTTTGTTAGGTTGACGTCATGAGGTCCCATGGCTACGCGGACTGTACTCAGTCGCGGATCCTTCTGCAGAGCTGGCTACTTTTTCGGTTGCTTTTGGATTCCTTATTTGATGCATGTAGATAAGTGTAGATAAGTGTAGTACGTTGGCGTCGTTTGCGTCGTTTGCGCTGCTGTGGGTGCTTTGTAGGCGCACGTGTATGTGCACGTTCTGCTGAGGAGAGCGTTTTGGCTTTCGCTTGCGCTACTTGTTTCTTCGATATTTTCCTTTTCTAGTTAGTTGTTGTTCCTGCCGTGATGGACGGATAGCGTTCTTTCTCTCTTGTTTCACCTGACAACTGACAACTGACGGACAAACCAGTGAACAGTCAAGTCGTCGGAAAGCAAATGTGACAAAGGAGTCTCTCTTTTCTCTTGCTCTCTCTCTAAAGCAAGATTTGGAAAGCACGCGTGGGAGAGTGGCGCGCGCTGCGCATGCGCATGTATAGCAATGACATCATAATCAGATGCATGATCATCAGACTAAGTATGAGTGGTAGATGTTCCACGTTCGTTAACAGGGCTTAGCGCACACGCTAAACCACCATTAATTTGATCATCGGAGTATAAGCTGAACCACCCCCCCCCCCTTTTTGCATGAATTTTGAGCGTCCAAAGTGCGGCTTATACTCCGGGAAATACGGTACCTACTCCAGAACTGGCTTATATTATTATTCTTTTATTCCACGATGGCGTGACGCCAATAAGGATGATTAATAAGTGCGATAGAACTGGTACTAGCCAGAAACAGCTAGATGGAAATTAACCGGGAGGCAAGAAGCAATGGATCATGAAAAACAAGCGGGGGCAATAAAGTTAGCAGGGGTGATCGAGATAGTTAAGTACACATTCGATATATCAGAAACCAGGGGGGTGCGCGGAGCAGGAACAGGTACTGCTCAAAAGAAGACTGGATGCATTGTTTCGGAAAGAATTTCTACGAGGTTGGGTTGTGATGTCGATAGGGAGTGAGTTGTAGAGGGTGAGGGCACTGTTGATGGGGGAATCTCGGTGCCTGTTCGTGTGTGCGTGTCCGATGGAGTAGGTCCTTGTCTGTCGAAGGGTGTATGGTTGGTGTTGACGTTGTGGTGCAAGATGTGGTTGTTGCAGATGTGGTGGGGAGGTTTGGTGGTGGATGTCCCATGCTAGTAGGGCTTGTTTAACAAGGACTCGTGAGCTAAGGGTGGGGAGCTTTGCGTGATGGAGGAGGGAGCTGTGGTGAACTGGTGCAAAGAGGGGAATCCGAAGGCAGATGCGTATAGCACGGCGTTGAATTCTCTCCAGTGTGTCCCGCTGTTGCTGTGTGGTGTTGGAGAGGGCAAGGCTGCCATATTCGAGAACGGGTCGGATGTAGGTCGTGTATATTAACAATAGGCTGGAAGCGTTCATTGTGCCACGTGTCTTGTGGAGTTGGTGTAGTAGTTTTTTGGCTTTGTTGGTGGTTTCTATGATGTGTTGGGTCCATCGCATATCGTCTTGGAGTGTAACACCAAGGTGCCTATGTTGGTGGACCTGCTGCAGCCGAGTCGAGTGGAGCGTGATGTGGATGGTGTGTTGGGGTTGGAAGGAAAGGACGACGGTTTTCGTGGTGTTGACGAGGAGATGCCAATCCTTCAACCATCGTCCTGCTGCGTCCACGGCACGTTGGAGGAACGCAGCTGACAAATCCCTCGTGTAATGCGTCGCGATGAGTGCCGTGTCATCGGCGAACTGGCTGCATTTAGTGTGAGAGTTTGTACATGCTGGGGGGAGGTCGATCGTGTACACCAGGAAAAGAAGAGGCCCCAGGACAGAGCCCTGGGGTACTCCAGCTGGAATGGATTTCCATGATGACAAAGCGGAGCCAACCTTGACGCGTTGTCGGCGGCGAGTCAGGTAGCTTGTGAGCCAGGTAAGGGCAATGCCACGGACACCAAGGTGCTCGAGTTTGGCCAGGAGGCCAGGATGCCAGACTCGGTCAAAAGCCTTTGATAAGTCAAAGAAGCACGCTGACACTGCCTGACCGGAATCTCGGCTGGCGGAAATCTCATGCACTAGGCGGGAGAGCTGTAGTTCAGTACTATCCTTAGATCGAAATCCAGATTGGTCGGCCGGTAGGTGGGGCTCAATGTGGGTGTAGAGGCGTTGGTGAACAATCCTCTCCTGAACCTTGCTGACAACGCTTAGGAGCGAGATTGGCCTATAATTGGTGACCTCTGCACGAGAGGCTTTCTTGTGTAGAGGACTGATAGTGGCGTCGCGCCAGTCCTGTGGCTGCTCGCCTCGCGAGAAGGACTCGTTGAAAAGTGTTGCGAGGGAGCACGATATTTTGTCTGCAGTGATCTTGAGCAATTTCGTCGGGATGCCATCGTACCCAGCCGACTTCCGGAAATCAAGCTTCATAGATACCATGCCGTTGTAGCAAGTTACAGATCACAGCAGGGTATGCATTTCTCTCCATGCAACAGACATCAATTCAAATAATTCTGCACCAGTGACAGTGTAACACTGTAGCATGCACCCAGTCTGGGCTGAGGGCAGTCGCGGTTGTTTGATCATACAATGCATGCCAAGCCAGACCCATGGTCGAAATTTTTGAGGGGGTGCTTTGGCACCCAAAGCACCTCCCCCCCCCCCCCCCTGCCTACGCCCCTGGTGTTTCTGTGCAGGTCTAAGCTTACCTCCTGGTCCAGCCAACTCGCGGCTTGGTGGGCCAGGCATTTCCCAGGGTAAACCCGGCGGTGACAAAGGATGCCTACGGAAAAGAATGGAGGCAGCAAGCAGCAAACACAGCCAATCAATATCTTATTTGGCATGCACCTGTGTGTCCATAGCACATGCATAGCATATAAAACACAAGAGCACAAGTCATGTTGGCTATTGGCTAGTATTATTACTAGGTTACACGGTGCAACACAAAGAGAGGCAGAACTGGGCATTGAAATCCTGACTGTACATTGTGTGTCACCCAAGAAAATCACGGGAGAATGAAGAGAAAATAATTGTTTTGAAGTACATCATGACTGGTACTGTACACGGGTGGGGAGGAGAAGGAGGAAGAGAAGGAGGAGGAGGAGAAGGAGGAAGAGGAGAAGGAGGAGGAGAAGGAGGAAGAGGAGGAGGAGGAGGAGGAGGAGGAGGAGGGGTATCTCTTCACTGCTCCCGTATGCTAGTGGAATATCTACGGTTGAGGAAGCGGTCTCACCTGCGCAGTAATGGCCGCCGCATGTTGCTGGGCTTGTGCATACTGGGAGGGCTGAACACACCACTGCTGTTCCATATCTGTGGTGCCGGTGTGTCTAGAAACTGCAAGTCCGGTGTACCTGGAGGTGATGGCACAGCGGCCGAAGACTCTGTTGAGAGCCTGGGGAAATAGTACAAAGATACAACGGGAGATATACATGTACATCAGATGCCATGGAGCTAATAGCTTTAAAAAATGGTAACAAAGAGAACAGTCAACCTCGTGAACAACAACCTCGGGTACAACAACTCATGAAAACGGCATTATCTTCTGGGTAATCCACACCTCTATGGAGCCGCAAGGGCAGCTGGAACGGGCAACCTGATTGCAAGATTACCTACAGCACTTCACGTTCCAATTGCCCATGTGATTTCCATGGGTTCTAGGACTTCTCTGCCTATGCCACAATTTTAAAGATAATACACTGCACACAAACAAGTGAGGTGTGCCACTTTTTGCACCACGATGGCAAAGTGTGACGGAATGGTAGGATTAGACTCGGATCTTAGACCTTCCGACTCCACAATATCTTGCTTACAAGTTTACAACTGCTAGTGTTCGACAAACTATAAAATGCACAGGGGCGTAGCAGCCGGTCCGGCCGGTCAGGCTTTGGCCGGACCACTTTTTCGCCCGACCACGGCCAAAAGTGCCCAGAATGCAGGATTTTGCACCCTGATTTCCAAAAATTTCCCGGAGAGACCCCCGAAGCCCCCCCCCGGCCGGACCACCTCCAATGGCAGTGCTACGCGCCTGATGCAAGATTTTGGAATGGTAATAGTTTCCCTTTCCACTACCCTGTCCAGAAAACTACATTGCTAAATAAGTAGCTTGGACATCAATAACACAATAGGCGTCCGCCTTTGGGTAATCCTGAAATAAAGATTATTAATAGTATACTATTATTTGAGGCACACCGTGTACTGTAGATAGACTAGGGCTGTGTTTACATGAAGCGTTTCAACCCGGGTCAGATTTCAACCCGCCATGTGCACAAAGTGAATGGCGCGTTTACATGACGCATTGCGCTTGACCCGGGTTGAAATTTCGCCCCGGGTTGATTTCAACCTGGGTCACGAAAATCGTACAAACGTACTTCTGTGCGTATCTCGCGCCAGGTTTGAACAGCACTGCAGATGCAAATTTCGCGCGAACGGATTCACGTGACCATACAGGACTGTAGAAGTGGACTTTTGGCGGCATATCAGTATTTGACCCGGGTCAACTGTCTTCATGTAAACGCTCACCTCTTTTGTTTGTCGTACAGACTTTCAACCCGGGCTGAACTCGACCCGGGTTGAAATTTCTCATGTAAACACAGCCTAGGTATGGGAAGGAAGGAGGGGGGGGGGGGGGGGGGAGGAGGAGGAGGTATTGTACGAAGTGAGCGGGCAGCTACCAACCAGTCAACATTATGCACATCATCCTTTCCTTCCTCTTCCAACAGATCAGAAATACCGCTCAGGAGCTGCGTTGGCCTGTCCCCGGAGAAACTGAACCCATCGGAGAAGGCCATGTCCGAGATTGTCCAGCAGGGTGTAGCCTAGTTAAAAAAGGAGCCACCCGGTCCGCTATGAGCTATGCTGAACAGCAAACTAAAGAATGTGGAGAACAAATTGAGCGTTTGCAAGACACAACATGCGGGACCATTCCTGTCGGCAGTAGACGGTCGGGGACATCTTTACCCATGAGCAAGAACAATAAAATAAATCAGAGTCGAACAGTTGCCCAAGTAATTATTAGTTTGCTAATTATTTACACTGGCTGCTTGTGGAAGTAGGCAGCGATTTGCTGTCTTTGCTTGTCTTTCGAGTCCAGAACAGACGATGTGACCGATGCACTTTGACCTGAGGGGTCAAAGTGCAATGTACTGGTGTACCCACGCAATTTTGTTGAAAACTGACTGATGTAGCAAGAGGACATAACTACAACGTGACTAACTAACTTACTTGTTTTCCCCCAATCTGCCCTCGAGCCTCGTGTGTGTTTCACAGCATAGTATAGTAGCAGATCTACTTTCCGGCTCAGTTTTCTTCTGTTCTTCGCTTGCTAAGTAAACATCTAGTCTTGGTTCCACCTGAACTGAAGTGAAACCACTCCATCACTGAAATCAAGCCTGGTCTACCAAGAGGGGGCAATACTCTTGCTATTTTGTAGTTGAATCTACTCAGTTGAGTCAGTACTAGTAGTAGATGACTGTTGATTGCCTCTGCACCGGAACCCTTCTGAGTTCTGGGCTTCACTCGTCCCGGTGCAGCTTGAGAGGATCTAGAATGGCCTTCGTCTTCGAGCTTCCAGCCACATCCGGTGCACGTCACAGTCGTCTGCCCCCTTGGCCCTTGCAGTTGCATGTTGTTATGTCTTTGACAACATGTGGATCCGTTGAGTGAACGTTACCAAGGTTACGTGAGTGGGTCGAGATAACTTTTACAAGTTTGCTCGTGATAAACTACTTGAAAAGCTCAAAGACTCGAAGCAAGAGTACTCTTGCTCGAAGTAATTACTACGGTATAAACTGTTCGCTTTCTTGTGAGTGATACTATTTTTGTACATTGTCACAAAGACACAATGTGCGCACGTGCCTAGCCTAAACTTTTTCACTCACGATTTTTTCAGTCGTGCAAATACCTGGCCAGTGTGACGACGGAGTACTTTTCACTGTCATGTCCAGGATACCGGTAGGTCGGTGAAGACAACTACATTGTAGATCTACATGTACCTGATAATCGTCCCTGAAACTAGTGTTTTCACCCCACTGTGCGTGGTGGCTACAGCAGAACATGATTATCTCACAACATAGGAAAATAGCTATTTTCATCTTCACTTCAATCATCGTGTCAGTGCTTGTCATGATAGCATCATGCGTAGATCTACGCGCGTCTCATGATCTGCAACAGTAAAAACAAAATACGTCACGGCGCGGTGCAAACAGTCCTTTTCAACACCCTTGTATCACCCTGCGCCGCGCCGCTTTTTCGAAAATTCCGCCGATAATGCGATATGCGTGGTCCTTCAGCAGTCACATTACCTGATTACCTTCACTACAACTAACTATTACTTGTACAAGTACAACTGAGAGAGAAGGAATTTTTGATTGACATGCTCCCCCAGTAGTTTGAATATTCTTGCCGTTCATGTTTCTGTACTCTTTTATGTCCTGCTGATCAGCTGAGCCTCATTGACTTGCTTCGGAAGAGAGAGTTTTTCCAATTCTGCGTGCTGTCGATAGAGAGTGGGCCTGCGCTGTCCTCCTATTTTTCGGAGCTTGTGAAAAGTATTTTTTCTTGAGGAATGAATCAATGCTGCTCGTAACAAATGGGATCAGCTAGCAGCCTCTTGGAGGAAGTTGCCAAAGCTATCCGAAAAGATGACTCTGACCGACTGACTTCTCTGCTTCAGGAACATCGGGATGCCGACCTGAATGCCCTGGAAGCTGGGAGTGAACAACGGCCTCTTCACATTGCCATTCACTACAAAAGCAGTGGGTGCTTGGACGTACTATTGGCGTCACCTGGGTTGGATGTGAACAGTCGAGACAAGGATGGACGAACAGTTCTACTCACTTCTGCCGCTAAAGGATACCAGGCAATAGCACTACGCATGCTGGATGATGATAGGTGCGACTGGGGAGCTGTGGATGCCAAGGGGATGACTGCACTCCATCATGCTGCATCCACTGGCTGCTTACTGCTTATTGATTCGTTACTGGCTAAGGGCTTGGACGTGGCTGTCCTGTCTACAGCCAAGCGAACACCACTGATGATGGCCGCAACAAGTGGAGAGTCGCAGGCGGTGCAGCTGCTGTTATCCCGCGGCGCTAGTCCGAAGTGTGCCGATGCCGTGCTATCCACACCGCTGCACTGTGCCTGCTTGCAGGGTAGCTTGGAGATTGCACAGCAGCTTCTGGATGCTGGTGCTGAGGTAGATGCCCGGGACAAGTTCGACTGCACGCCACTGCTGTATGCGCTACAGAGCAAGAATAAAGAGTTGGAGGCAGCACTGGTCGCACGTGGGGCCAATCTTACACACGCCTTGGACAAGAACTTCCAGGAGCTATGTTATCACACCTCCGGAAAGTAAGTCTTGCCATTGAACATTGGTGAACTGAACATTTTCATGACATGCTACCCTTCACGTTCCATTATGCGGCTGTGAAGGTAATAAGTGCGATGAATTTTAATACTTGATCATTGGATTTTGTCCACCATACATCCTCAGACCGACGTCTAACCGATATAAAATTGCCACTTTTGATCGGCTCTTGTATTTGTGTCTGCCTCTATCTACATACCCATGATTGCCCATCTGCTGGTGCTAGGAGCCCCTTTTGGGTCTTGTTTCTATTAGTGACGTTTCATATTGGGTCCACTTCTCCAGTGGAGATTCATTTGCTCACGTAACTATTGTGCTGGTCTCGCAATATAGTTTCAAAAAGTTTTCGCGTGGCGTTTCATGCCGCATCCATACAAGTATTTAGATTACTCCGACTTTGCGACTGCTTTTGTTTTTCAATTCCTGGTCTTGTCCTGGCGACAAAATTTGAGACGGACGCGTGGACGTATCCTAGTATATTATGTTATTTTGTTTTTATCGATTGCTATCCCTCCGGTCTTCTTTTATTCTGTTTGTTTACGGGGTGTTTGAATTGACTGCAATTGCGCTAGGTAACTGAGCGCTTTATTTTTTCGCTGTCTGCTCGATCGAACCGAACCACCCCAGACTCAAATGTTCAAGTTCTAACTTTATAGTATTATTTTTCAATGATAAAATCAAGTTGGGTAACTCGCGAGGGTGAATGTCATGCATGTGGAGTACTTATTTGTCACAAAGTAACAGTTATTAGTCAGCATGTAACCGGTAACAGTAATATACAGGACAGGACCCTTCGGCTATGTATGCAGATCCTACAAGTACAAGTACTGCCTTTCGCTTACGATGAAAATTTATGTAGATCTACATGTACCGTAAAATCCCGCCAGAGCGCCCCGTCTCTCCCATCCGCCCCTCCCTGACTTCTTGTCAGGGACGTGATTGATTGTGTCCTCGTATGACTCTGTCGCAGTCTGTGGTGCCGTACTGCACTGCAGACGCGTGCTCGACCCCGTTGGAAATGTACGCAACAGTGCCCACCCTCCTGACCAGGGAGTGTGGTATTGTACTACTCCCTGCTCCTGACCAGGGATCGCACAAACCCTGCGTTTTCACGGTCGGGTCTGTACGACTCCTGGCTCTTGACCTTTGGTCGGTGTACGAGATGCACGAACAGTTTTCGTAGGGTGAGTACTTTTTCATGTAGCACTGAATGCGGCAAGTTGGACTCGCCCATCCGCCCCTCCCCACCTGAAGCGTCGAGGAGGTAGGGGCGCTCTGGTGGGATTTTACGGTACTATCGTACTTCCCGGCACAAAAAAACCCATGTGCTTATATGGGGAATACCATATTTCCACAAATAGTAGGCCGGTCTACTATTTTTTCAACCTCGTCCTAACCCGGCCTTATAATCGAGGACGGTCTTGTATTCTTTCATCCCAGTTTGACCCCCGGTCTTCTATTTCTCGCCACACGGTTTTACCCCCGTTCTTCCATTTTCTTCTACACAGTTTGAGCACGGTCTTCCATTTTTTCCCACAGTTTGAGCACGGGCTTCTATTTTTAACACAAGAACAAAGACTCATTTAGTAGGCCCGGTCTTCTAATCGGAGACGGTCTTTTATTTTTTCAATCGCCCCCTGCCTCGGCCTTGTATACGAGGAAGGCGTTGTATACGAGGACGGCCTTTTATTTGCGGAAATACGGTAGTTACTGTTTTTGGCAGAACTGAGAGGTCGATCTTTGCTTGCGTATACCGGAGAGGATCTACATGTCGTATGGATATACGGATGTACATAAAACCATAACATGTACGGCGTTTTGCTGATGCGGAGGCTCGAGGACTAGTGTCGACTGTCACCATCTCTTCCATGTGTGCTGGTACAATCTGCATGGGCATTCCCTGCCAGACCTGGGTGAAAAGTGATTTCGGTATATCGATGTCAGTGTGTCAACTGGTGAGGACTTATGACTAGTACTAAACCGCTTCTGTCGCCCACGCCGTGTCCCTAAATGCTATGACACCGTGATGAACATGGACAAGCTTCAAGAAGCAAAGGCCTGAACCAAGTAAATGTCGGGAGGTGGAAGCATCACACCAACTGGGCCCATGGGAGTGCTCAATAGACTTTCAAATTTTAATTGCGAAATCTACGCTCTAGAACATAACATACTCGTATAAGCATTTTTTCTTACCTAATATAATGTGTAACAGTGATAAAAGAAAATCGGTTTGGACCATGCTCTGTATTACCGTATATTCCAGGAAAAAATAGACCTAATGTCCAGTTGCAGATCGCTAAATTAGTGAAGCAAACAATGCATGCATATACATGCAATTCAATGTCAAAGTTCCAGTAGTTATTGCCATCTGCAAGTGTGGCGTATATGTACGGACAGTTCATGCATTGAACACGCAGTATCTCCACGGCCCCTGGTGGTGGCCATCACTTTCCGCCTCCGGCTTGGACACGCTTGATATTGCAGTCGCGGCACAAGAGCGCCCCCTCGTACGGGTAGCAGCCCTGGCCATTCTCGCCTGCCGACAGATTCTTGCCACAATCCTAATAAGACAAAACCCGCAAGCATGAGAGGTCTTACAAGCTGCAACAATTTCGAATACAATGTCAGACAAGTGCTGCTGTATAGGGCGAAGCAAACCCCAGTTATGAGCCCCCCCCCCCCCCCACACTTGGGACCGCGATTTTCTGGTTGCAAGTTGACTACACCTTTCTTTAATTCAGTTTAGGTCATAAAAGGTCGACATAATTATAACCAGTAAATACGGTACAGTCAACTTCGCTAATAACGACTGCGGATATAACGACAATTCGCGAATAACGGCAGGATTTCCATGCCCACAGCAAAGTCCCATCCAACTGTAATTAGTGACTTTACTCCCTCGCACCCAGACGCTGATTTTTTGGGAACAAGTTTCTATACTTCCGATGGGAGAATCCGACATGGCAGTGCATTTCGGCGTGGCCAGGTCAAATTGTAGAATATCGCATCGAGTGAATTGCTTTATCTGAGAGAGGAGATGTTCGTGCCCTTGAGACCCGAAGTCCCGTTTCCATACGACAAAATTTAGGAGCTCTGCGCTCAGCGCTTTTTCAGGGTATGAATTTCGGGTTGTTCTGGTCGGGTCGCAGCGTCGCGGACTATTCCATCGTCTTCAGCGTCGAAAAACTACTGGCCATGTGAAATTACAAGGCGGTGAGACGCTTTCGTCTTCCTCTACGAGCGAATTTGTTCTGCGCCAGCATACCTAAGTATGCAATTTCGTACGCGCAGTTCGAGTGACGAGGCGTGTGCACTGTACACTGTACTGCATGCACGGACTGTGCGGTCGTTCTCGATTCTCCCATCGCTCCCATTCATTTCTGTTTCCAGCAAAAGTCCAAGTTGGCGCACTTCAAATGACTAACTCAAGAATGGCTGGGCCGATTCGAATAATACTTACAGATTTCCTATGTACTACGCCTGGGAGAATCGAATGAGACCAAAATCGAAGCGATCGGAGCAAGTTTTGGAAATTGGGTGTAGTCACTACTGTAATACATAATAATGGGACTTCGGGCATAAGGACACTTCGCGAATAACGACACTTTTCTGATGCCCCGCCGAGTGTTGTTATAAGCGAAGTTGACTGTACATGTTCAAGTTCCACTAGGCAAGCCAGCTGTAATTGACAGCAGGTACGGGGTTCCCACATGTGCAGTGTATTGCTCGAACAAGATTGTGTCTCTGCGCTATCAACCTTACCTGACAGTTGAAGCAACCAACGTGGAAACTCTTGTCCATAGAGATTACCCGGAGCGTTTCCTCCTTGCCCTGTAGCAAGAGAGACAAACACAGCAGCAAGGAAGCCTCCATTAGAGACCAGATGAGATGTCATGCGTGGCAGAGGAACAAGCACACTGGATGGAGTCTTCAGTCTGCATCTGATGTGTTGGGCCAGGACTGAATGGACAGGACAATGATGGACGATATGCATACTCCAATGAGGAGCAATTACCTCTTCGGGGACTATAGGCTCCTGACAACTTGCACAGCGTGGGGCGAATTTCCTGAAGAGAGGAAGAGACACATGAAAGCAAAGCATACATCAGCACCGCCACACAAGTGTTCTCCCAGCAGCCTCGTTGCCGAATTCTAAAGCGGAGGAACCACTCTATCACAGTCATGAGACTCACCTACTTGGATGTGGAGAGAGGGGGGGGGGGGGGGGGGGGGGCAGTGTCAAACGGACAAAAAAGACTACAGAGCATTTTGTACATCCCTTGCCCAATGAGAAAAGGGTTGCATAGATATCTTGCTGTATAGGAATAACTACTCCTTAGAATGTGATCTGGGAGCCTTCCTGTGCTACTTCTTGCCCATTGCAGTACCTTACACATTTACATGCCTTATGTTAGGAATTGAGTTTAGCTAGCTTGAGGTTAACACCTAACGAAGTAAAACCTAAGCAAAATAATTATGTTAGGCTATGCAGTACAAGCCATGGTGCTAACCTCTTGCAAAAGTGCTCAATGCCACGCGGGCAGAGCCAAAACACAAGAACTAGGCTGAATTAAGCTGCAACTCGGAGTATGCACTATGCAGTATAAAGTCAACTGACCGGTGGTAGCAGTCGAGGCAGTAAACTTGGCTATCGGCATCCGTTGTGAACGGAATACCGTCGAGCATTTTCGGGCAGTCGTGGCACTTGAAGCAGTCCGGATGGAACGGCATGTCCATAGCCCGTAGGATCTACATAGACACAGGCACAACCAACAAACATACAGGGGAGAAGGTGCTCTTGAATCTATCCAGTGCTATCGTGTATGAACATGGATCCCCAGGAGAGACAATGATGCGAATCAGTATGGTATCCACATAGTCACCATTCACCTAATTAGAGCACCAACGTCTAACCAGAGAGGAGTTTCGATTGTGAATATCATGAGACCTAAGCAGATCTAGTATCCCTATCTGCCACCCCGGACAGCACAAGTGGAGAGGCAGTTACAGCTGACAAGACATGGGCGAGAACGAATAAACACTGGACTGCACACTGCGTGACCGGGCAAATAGTGTGGATACAGCAGTGCAAGGTAAGGGGGAGTCTTGTCGCAATTGGACCTTCACTTCTCACCACATGCCCACCTCCTCCAGAAAGCAAGCATGATCACTCAATTGGATGATGAGCAAAATGGCACGCAAGGCAAACTGATTTACTGATTTATTCCCACGTAAAACAAAGTGGTATCTATAGGGTGCGTGACAAATTGATTTACACCTCAATTGCAACCGGAATGAATGGAAAAAGCCACTGTGAGCAGCACAGCCACCGAATTGAAATAAAACTTACCCGGTCCTTGATGTAATCCTTACAGACGGCACATCTTTCTAACGTTCCCTGTCAAGTGTCCACAAAAACAGAAACGCAGCCAAAGACACCATTTACATTTCCATGGACTCACAGCACCATCATTCACGCCACTCGCTAGTCTCTGAAATATTGACGTCTACAAGCAGCTGAGGATCTACTAGTGATGGTACTACAAATCAAATCATAGGATAGGATTGATGGACCTACATGATAACACGAATCACACAGGATGCCTGTCTCCACGGTGAAGAAGGGCTTGCCTCGTAGTTCGCTTGCTGCAGTGGAGGAAAGTCAAAAGAATGGAAAAAAGAGATAAGAATTAATAGCAAGAATAACACGACTACAGTAGAGTTTCAGAACTCTAAAAAAACATTAGGAAAGGTTCTGAAAGAGAGACAGGAAGTTCTACCACTGTCACATCGACTTAATCTGAGCAATCCAATATTTGTTACAACCCTAGTTGAAATAGTGGTAGCGACTCCGGCGATAATATTTCCTAGTTGAAATTTGCATAAATAGTGTCGATGACTGCCGCTTTGAAATTGCCAATAAGTTGTACTATGCAGAGCCATACACAGCCGTGTGAGTCCGGTACACAACTCTGAGTGATCAATCATTAGTTTTGATTGTAAAGTGTGAGTTATTTCGAGTAATTTGAAGTTTTAAAAAAAACGCGCCAAGTTTCGCTTGTCGGAGGTAGTACCCACATGTAAAATCCATTACAAGCTGTATAATGAGGGAGAACCTGGAAGAAAAAGATTCAGCAGCTTGTCATACGAGCAGGAATACTGCAACAAATCATTTTCGGTGTCTACATGGAATTCCATTGGAATCGGGTGGAAATAACACGTGGAATATAGTTTTAGGTGTCAAAGTGCACGGCCAAAAGTACCGAAACTTGCAACCTACCAGAGATTGAGTGCACATGCAGTTATCACGGTGACTCCTTGAACCATAATACTATGTCACACGTACTAGCATTGTATAAGTCCTCTAGGCGTACTGGAAGGTTTTCAATTAATTTGTTTACAATCAGATACTGTGTGGATAGCTGCTCCCAGTCAACTAGATTTGGGCACACCCGGAAGCTTGCGAGCGCACGGAAACTGGCTTTGCACCGTGGTCTGAACTTTGACCTCTTGACAAGGCTGAATGCATCCTGCCACAAGATAGTCCAAGTCCCTCACCAAGTACAGGTTGTGTGAAACGTGGACAGTTATCCAAACATGGATACTGAGAGCAAAACATTATGAAGTACAACACGGGTACATCTTGCTCAATTAGAACAGTTCTCCCTCTATGCCATTACGTATGTACGTGAGATAGTGTGAAGCATGTACTACATGATGTGAACAATCCAGAACCCTTCCACCACATAGCCGTTCGTCCCCAGCATGTTGGCAATCCTCAGGACACTACAAAGTAGGACAACCTGCAGCATTTTTGTGTGATCGTTGAGACAAAGATACAGTGGATTAGCAGGGCAAACCGTTGAAACAGCGGACTTCAGACAGTCACGGTGGGTAGTAACATACAAGTAGACTAGCTACTATCCACCCAGCACTGGCATCATCAGGCCACTGCCTGCAAACATTGTGGCTCTACTGACTGTCTGCAGCAGCTGCGAATCGATGGAGTGCAGATTGGCACTTTACTAACCTACTTACATACAGAACAGCGTAGGTTTACTCCCGCTGTACCAAGCCCAATGCACTGGCTGGGTATCCCCCGGCACCGACCATTCTACCCCACCCAGGCCTGAGCCAAGCCTGTGCTTCGTGGAAGGCGCGTCCATAACCAAGCCATAGAAATGCAGCGGTCACACTTCACCTTACTCATAGGCCTGCCCCGTCCACCGCCACAGTACATGTCACGCGCTAAAATCGTTTTCAATTATCAGATACATTTACACACAAGATAACAATTTTACTCAACAAACAAACGACAGACATGCATGCAACAAAATATTCCACAACCACGAGATGTATCTGGCCGCACACATAGCCAAAGCAGCCTTCCTTCTTCACTTCTTTCATTTCACTTACAAACCTTCGCGATCGACTCAAATCAACGGATGAGGGACTAGGTGTAAGCCAGACGCAGGAAATAAGGGCAGCTACGCATTCTCTTTCGCTGCTAACACGGAAACAGGATACTCCAAGCGCAGGTGCATGCACGACACAGTATTTATCTCTTGGGCTTTCCTTCATCGCTGACACGCGCACATCACGACACAACGTGTCTCGGGAAAGGTTCGAATGAACACACATGTACACATGCCAAGCAAGACCAAGTGCCTAAACTCAACTTACTGCAGTTCCCGCAGACAAAGCAGTTTGTGTGGTAGATCTTTCCCATTGCCTGAACGCCATTCTCACTTCCAATAACCTTCTGCTCACAAATGTTGCAGAACCCTGTGACACAGAAAGCCAAACGCAATGCAGGAACAAAATTTCCATTGGAATGCTAGAAATGAAACAGCTGATTGCCGATTTGCGCAGCGACACTAGCAGCTACGTACGTAACAACGCACTTTTCTATTTTGCTATGATTATGAAACTCTTACCTGAATAACATTCCATTCTCGTAGGCTGGAAGATAGTGCCATTTTTGTGCTTTCATGCCAAACCATTGACTTACCAAAGAATCCTTCCTCTCCAGCATGCTCCATGTTCTTGACCAGAATTTTGGTTAGGTTATCCACTTCGGTTTCAGCCTCGTCGCCAGGCGGCGGGGCAGGGAAGTCATCACCACCAGGGGGCGGAGGACGGCCAGGCTTGCTATCTGAAGGTGGCGGGGGCCTCGGCGGAGCATCTAGGTCGTCCAGAAAGTCGTCCTCGATCGCGAATGCCTCGTTTCTCACCGCCGTCTTCTTCCTCTGCGATACAGGACCGAGACTCTCCACTAGCTGTGCCATCGTCAAACTAGAAGCAAGGAGCAATGATATGACTCTGGAGCTTGGTGATCTGCTGCGAACACTCTACTTTTCAACCTGACAAATTCACAACCGTCGTTGCCACTTCTGGCTTCTGCAAACAAGAGAGACACAGATATACTGCAGTGACCACTTGTCGCATAAATGCTTCTACAAAAAGTCCAGCCAAATGTCATGAACGGACAAAGAAGTGCCTGTGACTGACTGTGCACATGTGCCATGATGTGGCGTCTATGTGCGCAGATTCTACGGCCCGGGCGTGTGCGTCTGTTACAACAGTCAACACTCGACTGTGCGGAAGAAAGCGAAGAAAGTCTGACTGTCATGCACAGACTGTCATGTCAGTCGATACAGTCAGTGCAGTGCAGTACAATGTAGTCGGTGCAGTGCATGCAGTGTCAGGTCACTGCTACTATACTAAGCAGTGCTAGGCTGAGTGCTGTTGAGCCCTAGCTAGCTGTCCGTTGTCGCAGCCTGGTTGTGTTTGTAGTAGTCTATACGCACGTATGTAGATCTACATGATTTTGAGCTTGACTTGAGACGTCGTTGAGTACCGCCGGTAGAGGCGACGGTTTCAAATAGGAAATAGGTTGCAAACCGGAACGGACTCAATATTCACTTTCTCTCTTGGTATTTTGATTAGAAAACATATGTCACAGTGAGACTACGATGTGTCCTCCGAGCCAAAATTTCATGGCTCTGCGATGACCAGAAGCGCCATATCAAGCAGGTGAGTTTTTGACGTGTTGCTTCGCACTGCGACTTGAGTTTTACGACTTTCGAAAAATCAACTTCTTGTCGCAGGTAAACAGCGGCTCGCCTCTCGACAATAAAGCACCGCATACCAATCAAAACTAATGGAAGCACACACAAGGCTTATTGTTACTCTGTACTGGCCGTCGTGGAGCGATAGCAATTACCTAATTTCAGACCCAGAGTGAATTTGACGGGCACTCTAAAACGTGTCCGGTTTGGAGCCACCTCTGATTTGAACTTTTTTGAAGCGAAAAATTGGGCAACTTGGAGGCAATGGGTCAACACAAAGGAGTGGCTCAGTTCGATTGACTCTGGCCCCAGAGCAAACTTCAACATGCCAGTTTCCTTCCACAAACATATTTCGAGTGAAAAATCAACGTTGATGATCGTTTTGGGTCTATACAAATTTGGCTGTCAAAACGTTCCGGTATCGAGCCGTCTCCTCTACACCATGGTACACGCAGTGTTCAGTGTAGGCATGCTGTGTGCTGAGCTTTGCCCGCGCTGCACATTGACATAATTGTGCACTGATCGCTATCTTGATGAAACGACCGGGAAATACCCGCACCCACCCAGTGCTCGCCCGCGCCATGCCCATTACCTGATTACGTTACAATGCAGCTACCTACAAAACCGATCAACCAAGCGGAGTTGGCCATGCTTCTTCCAGCTACATGTACTAGTAGTACTGCATAATGCTGACCCGGGCTTGAGTATGGAGGAAGAATTGGGCCATTGGGTGACACGCTCAGGCTCAAGGTAGTTCTGGCAATGTTACGACGAATACAATAATTGTTATGATGATTGTACAATCATATGCACCCTCCCCTTCTCTCCACACAGCCGCACACACCTGCACGCGCACACATACACATGCCTGTATGGGTCACTGGTGCAGAATAGTTCACTGCTCACTCAACACCCTGCATCAGTAACATAACTACATAACATAGCCCACAACTTTCATCTGGCAAAAGGATCAAGGCAATAGTCCTTATACACATTGTACAGATGTACGAAGTTCTGTACTAGGGCCGTAGGTGTGTACATACCCGGTTGGGTGTTCATTGTGTGCTATACATGCGCGTTTGACCCATTTAGCCTCACAATTCATGGCAAACGATCACTTTTCAAGCCTTCTTCACTTTGGGATTGAACTAACGACTAGCTAGATCTCTGCCGGAAAAAGATTTCGTATGAAATGCCTTCATGGCCCATTTCATAGTGGAAATAGCAGTAAACACAATAGGGTCCTGCACATTCAACACCCAACCGGGTCTACGGGATTCTACAAGATTATACGGGATTTCGTGCATCTGTACAATGTGCAAAAGGCCTATACATTCATGATTCAAGTATCTGTTGCATGAAACTTGATGAAAGAATATGTTTCACTTTTTACTAAGTTTTTAGGGTCGAGAAGAACAGAAGCTTTCAGAAGATGGTTTGAGGTTCCTTAAAAAAAGTCATGGTTTGATATGTTGCAGATATTTTTTGAAGTCAAAATTCAAAATAAATAATTAAAAGCCTAAGCAGAATAGCCAAGCTATGTACAGCAAAAGTAAAAGGCAAGTGCACAGATTGCCGATTCGTGATGACAGAGAAGGCCCGTCGGCTGGACATGATGGTCTTTGAGGGGGTATGAGCAGCTGATCTGATGCACTCACTCACGCCAGTCAGAAGGCACACATGCCTATCAGGAGAGCGGACGAGAGCGCCGTCGCATCTCTTTGCTTCCACGCTCAGCAGTGGTGTGGAAAGCAAGGCATTTGCAAATCATAGCCACAGAGATCCGCTCCGCAGTGGAACAGCTCCGTTTGGAATTAACTCAGTAACGGAGTGCTCTACCCTGCGCCATACAGACCACACATGGCAACGACAAGCGCTACTATTACCTCACAGCGAGCAATCGTACTAAACCGTGACGATTTAGGATGAGGAGCCATTCTGATCTGGGGCGGCTGGCTCGGATTCGTTCCAGCGGCGTTCCTCGATGCCGAGGACGTCGATGCAAACAAGCGATGCAGCGTGCTCAGCAAACCGCTTGCTTCGTTCCCTGTAGGGAGAAAAAACACCGTAAGAAAAGTAATGTTGCTGGGATGGACTAGCACGCCAGCCAATAAGCCTACAGTTAAATTATCTAACCTGCACACCTCTCTCAAGGTTTTGGTGGGCTTTAAAAATATGTGCTAATACAATACAGTGAAACCTGTCTAAGGTGACCGCTCAACGGGCCTTACAGATGTGGTCCCCGTGTACAGGTGGTCTTCTTATCCAAGGTCATCTTGACTGGAAGTAACATTGGTTGTAGTGGTCCCCGAGGACAGGTGATTACCCTATCAGAGTGGTCACCTTGACAGGTTCTACTGTAGCTCCTTACGAAGCGGACAATGGATGTTGAAGCAACAAAACAATAATAATGGATGTGGAGGTTTCCTCAATATTCATAAAAAGAGGATTCCTAATAGATTTTCTACAATAGCATGCGCCTGTATCCATTTCTCCCAGCTCGTGCAACTACCAATAGTGATACATGTAGCAGTATGATTTACGACACAGGTGTCAGTAAATATATAACAACTGCTGTAAGACATTTATTAGTTGAGAGAGAAAGTTGAGCCAACACACAACAAACTGTAATCTACCCTGGTGGCATAGTACAGTGTTAGAGGCTAGCAGTGTAAGTCTGCAGCAGGCAACGTGAATGGCTGAATGCCTTACCAGAACGTCGAGGAGTAGCCTTGACCCGACACCGTGCACACGCTCTTGTACGTCCGGTCTTTACTTCTCTCCGTCTGCAAGAACAGCAACAGAAGCAGCAAAGGTACCTTCCAAAACTGCACGACATAACTCAAATACATATAACACATGTAACAATGTATGCACAGTGTTGTACTTATGGCAGCTTGAAAGTGTGAAAAGCACTTCTCCCAGGGGACGGACTCAGTGTCTGCTCCAGCGCCGGGTGAGCCGGGTAATCCACCCGGTTGGGCGGCGCTTGGACCCGGTTGAAAATATAGTGCCGGGTCACCTGTGACCCGGTTGGTACTTTACACTTTCGAACTTTGAAAGGACTGACTACATGGCTTGTATGTGTCAGATACTTCTTCTTCTTTCGTAATTTTCTAATTCCTGTCCACTCTTTTCTAAATGCGGCTTATCCATTCGCCTTTATATCATTGGGCGTACATGTGTACCCGGCTCCGACCCGGTTGAAATGGTTGCGCCAGGTACACATGTACCCGGCTGTCCTACAATCCTGGAGCAGACACTGGGACTGTTAAATGGTCAACAACTGCAACAGATACTACTGCACAGCAGCAACAAGCATGACAACTAATGTACCCAGCAAACCATGTAAACAGCACGCACCGTGACGAACACTGGCTGCTTCTTGCTATTCCGCCTACAATCAAACAGCACAGAAACAGGCATACACACGTGATGACAATCTGCTGGACTGGTGTTTTTTTCAATGCCGCACCAACTGTCACTCAGACCTGATTGACAATTGCTCTTCTCATTTTCTGACAGTGTGTTGCTGCACCTTCCTGTGCTGCCAGGACAAGTGTGCTGACCTAGCGCTGCCCAAAGCAGTCTTGCTTGTTTCTCACATGCCATGGCCCCACTTCAGCAGTCCAGGAGGGATTTCCTGACAGCCTTTGTTGCATCTTGTTCCTGTTCCTCACTTGCCATAGTTCTACTACAGAAGGGATTTCCTGACAAGCTTTGTTGTATCTTCCTTCTATCGTTTCAAGTGTAATGTGCAGCTGTTGGCCAGTGGTATTACTGGTGTTACTGGTGGTCCCACATCTGACCAGCAGTGCTCATGTTGAAATCGTCACCAGCACCGACAGTAGGCGTGCTATAGAAATCATGCTCTGGTGGCTCGCGTTTCCCAGCAGTGCATTGATGCACTTCCCTACGTTGCCAGAGGTATTTGCTTTGCTCTTCCTTCCAACTCACTGGCGCTGGTGGTCGGCACTGCTGTGCTTCATTCAACACCGTCTTTCAAGAAAGAATCGGCTCAGAGATAGCAAGCTCAAGGCTGAGACTGTTCAACACGATACATGCGCGAGGTTTACATAGAAGAAGATGATGCATTTGGATGTTGTAGCTATTTCGGATTTTATTTGTTATTGAAATCACCAGGCAAGGCCGGACTTTGCTTTTACATAATATAAACATGTGACTTCAGTCACTTTACCCATATACCACCTACATCAAGACAGCATACAGCAACATTACCTTGCCCACTCCAGCAGAACAGACTTTGGCGTCGGCTTGTTCCGATAGTTGTCCCTTGAACACAAGACAGGCAAAGGCAGGCAGAACACGACGAGCCTTCACAACAATGCATCCAAAATAGCGAAGAAAAGTTTGCAAGTATTTCAACATGCACACTGTACACAGTACTTGAAAAGAGACAAATCCGTTGATCCCCGAGCTGCAGGGAGTGCTCAATGTCAGACAAAGAGCTTAGTACATAGCAGACTCAGAGGAGGACGTTCAGGTTGGCTGTGACTCTGAGTTTCATGCCGCTAGGCAATCATCAGACAACTGAACTCAGCTGTCTGATGATATTACTGGAAGTGACACCCTTTAGACAAAATGGATTATCCAGACACTTTGTCGTGGACCCCTCACCAACGGTGTCTGGATTGATGATGCTCAACTATACTGGTTGTGGTGTCAGACATCAACTTACAACTTGAATGTGATATGCATTTCCATTGTCCCCTCCTCGGAAATCTCTGGCTGTGCCCGTAGCTGCTCATACTTGCGGCCTGGATCACCAACGACTAGAGGTTGGCCCTGTATAAAACAAGGTGGTAGCAAGGAGAAACAAACTCACTGCTGTGGCGTGGATACACCTGTAAATGAACATGACACAGAACCTTAGCCAGGGATAAAGGGTGTAGAACCTGCAATACGTCTACAAAAGAATTATTATTATTATTACTTGCATGTACGCGTTGGAGTCAACCATGCAAGCATGATCCACAACTTCGCTTATGCTGAACATGATAAACAGGACTATGACAGGGGAAAGAAATTGAGCCAGAACGATGATATGATGATATAATTATCATATACAATGTAGCTCATGGGTATTGAAGATATGTCATTTATGAATATGTCTTTAATTATGTCATTGAATATTGCAGCCTGAGTGATAATAATAGTGCTATTTCCTGAGTCTGACTGTTTCAGGACCTGTCGGAATATCACGATGCACAGATCTTCATACATAGATCTCGCCATGCGGGTCGGTCATGGGCAATGGCTCGCAGGCTCTGCAGAGCGTCTAAGTTCCCGAGCAATCCGGCATTGGCTTGGCGCAGATCTCCCACCAATGCCTGCGGCAGGGTCGTCCGCGGTCTACCCCTCCAGCATTTCTGTTGCTGATTGGCGAAGTACGCGAACATAGCCATAACAGCTGGAGATTCATCTGCCATCCGCAGGATGTGGCCAAACAGCCTCCAGCATGATCTCTTGACCATGACACTCAAGGGTTCAGCTTCGCATCTGGCATAGAGAGCATCATTCGGTATTATTTGTGGCCATTTCACACCGATGAGTGACCTTAGCTGACGGCGGTGGAAGGAATCCAGGCGAGACAGAACGGTCACACTGACCCCCCCCCCCCCCCCCCCACGTACCCGAGTACGTCAGTACTGGAATAATAAAAGTGTTGTACAGCCGCAGACGCAACTTCTCGCTGATGTGCTGATGCCTCTTCCAGAGGCTCCATAGGGATTGAAATGCTGCAGTCGCCAGCTGTTTTCGTCGCATAATATCCTATAATATATAAAGAATACAGCACTATAAACCCATGGTCTTTAATTTTGCATGAAGAGAAAGAGAGAGAGAGAGAGAGAGAGAGAGAGAGTGAGTGAGAGAGATAGAGCAGAAAATGAAAGCAAAAAATGCCAAAAGTCAAATGGAGAGAGACCAGAGGGGTCGATGAACCAGTATACAGAACACACCAAATTACTTTGACGACATTGGAGACACAAGAGCCGAAAAGCCAAAATATATTCCCTAGCAGACAACAGTATTTACTACTTCCACAGTCAGAAGTACAACATGAAACAAATTCTCAGCAAGCAATATCATGATACATGAACCTACAAATCGAGATGACTGCAGCTCAACCTCTTTCCTGGCCAGTTCTTTCTCAATGACATCATATTGCTCAGTCCATCCCATCGCTTCTCTACAAACATGAGCATGGACAAGAGAGATTTACAAAATCAGTCTAAAAGATGACAGCTACTGTATTTCTAAAAGGATGACATATAAGCATACGGGCACCCATGGTAAGACATACAGGCGAACAAGACAGAAAAGGGAAGAAAAGAGGAGAGCATGGAAAGGGAAGAACACAAGGAGGGAGATGGGGAATAGAGCACACAGGTATTGCTCAGGTTGCAATTCCACCCAGTCACACAGGTCACGGCAACTTACGCCACTTCTTCGTAGGTTCTAGCCGCCAGCAGCTTTTCACCAAAAGGCTCTTGAAGAATAGACACACAAACACCGGCTGCGAGACCATATTTTGCATTGGCAAACGCGGGTTGGTACCGAGCACTCTGAAAGAAAAACAAGAAAAGACAAACCAGTTCGTCATTGAAGCCACACCGACTATTGCTGCATGGATTCTGCCCACATGCGTTGAAGTAGAACAATGGCTAGTGCATAGAAAGCCTCTGTAGATGTGAATCATTCTCACACACACAGTTGTCTTCAGAGCAAGGATGTAGTAATTGTACCTGGTGATACACATCCATACACACACAAATACTGGACCAACCCGTCATGCATACACATGCACCACGGCTGTTCACAGTCGGGGAGATGTCCTATCTAGGACATCGCACTCTGAATGAGTCTGATTGGTTACCTGTCCCAGAGTTGTCATGGAAGCGTCGGTCGCGCACACGCGATGAAAAGAAGTGCTGCGTGAGCATTTCTGAATGTATGTGGAGGATGCACGATCGTAATGGCGATGGATTTCTTTCCGAATTGGTCAAGTTTGAGGGAATAGGCGGAGAATATCAGACATCGGCGGGGATTGAGGTAGTGTATATTCAATTCGCCATCGAATACCCGACCGAATGGCCGTTTTCGTTTAGGGATTTCATGTGGGGTTTCTCGTAGCCACGCGGCGCTTCTTTGGAAACGATTGGTTCTAATTTTTGAATGTTTTGCCTTTGGAATGTTTCTTCACGCCCCGTGCGTTCATTTCGCCCCAAACCTGGCCATGCAGAGGAGGACGACGAGGCAGCAGGCGCTAGGCCCGTAAATTACTGCCTGGAAGATATTATTTGGCCTAACTGCGGCTTGCTGTTGGCGTTTTTGATTTCTTGGAAACGACAGCTCTTGGCTAAAACTGGACCTTGGACGGTCTTTCTTGGATATCAACCCAGGACGTGGTGGTCATGGACGTATCGCCATCGCTTTCAGCCAGATCCTTCTGCTGCCTGAAACCAATGGTGAAAGTAAAACTTTATCGCAGCAGCAGCTACTGCTCTGCTGAAAGTGCGAACACAAATTGCTTCGCCAATCCTCTTGTGCACATGCAATTTTCAATGCGACCAAAATGATTCGCTTGCCAGTTCCTTTGTCCAGGCGTACTCCACGAGGAAAATATAATTCGTGAAGGCAAGAGGCAAGATACGAATCTCGACTCGCTTGAGGCAAGCCACCAGGAGAACGACAACTAATTACTTTTGAGACGAAAGGCCTTCGTTGCGTTTGTTTGAGTTCGAATGTTCATCTTCCTCGGACGCGACACAAAGTTTTGAGTCACGTGTCACGATTACTATGGGAACAGCATAGTATGTATGCTGGGGCATGCTGGGTTCCGTGATGTCCTATCTAGGACATCTCCAGGACTGGTTCACGCGCAGGCACTTATAAATATGGCGTCGTTCGGTGCGATTTATGTAACATTGTGCGAATAGTACAAATACGCGATGAGTTTGCGTTTTTGGAAGAAACTCATGTCGATCCTCGCGTGGTTCCACGATTTGGGACGCGAAACCAAGAGAAAAGTTTTGAAAGCGCTCGAGCGAGATACTCGACTTTTCGGCAATTTGAGAGAGAAAGAGGGTGGAAAGACGTCCTGGCCTGCCCAGTTAGCTGTCTTTCCGCTTTAAACTTGATCGAACTACTCCTGGCAGTCTGGAGATTGATCTCGCCAGTGATTGTCAGCCTCTGCTTGGCGTGCTCGCGTGTACAACATTCAAGTTAGACATTTCGTAATCGTTCAACGCACAATAGGGTAGATATCACAATTTCAAGCTCACTTGGCCGGCTGTTGTCTTCTTCTACAATATCCCACATGCCGACTAAGCAATTTACAGCAGGAAGCAGCCTTCTACACTCAACAGCAACTAAAGGGCCACACCATTTGTCTTCCAAAGCAAGAGAAAACCGGCTCCTGACTCGTCGCGCGGATTTAGAAGTTCACGCGCGTATTCTAATGACACTTGGGGAAGACAACCAGAGGATAGTCCTCTACCTGGGAAAAAATCGGGAAGGGCTTCTCGGAGCCGAGTTTGTCAGCGACGACACAAGGAGTATTCCAGAACGAAGCCAAAGTCGCACGACACAGAACAAATGTTTCTTGAAGGAAAGGCAGTCATGTGAGGTACAAGCGGAAAGCTTGAAACAAGACGCAGATGATCAGCGTGTTCCCCGGGCTGTCCGGGCTGACTAGTCTCCAAAATCGAGGGGAAACCATGGCCTACTCGTGTTCTGACGATTTGAAAATGCAAATTTTCTTGCCATTGAAGCCCAATCGAGACTTTCGGCGGCCATATTGTTAAGTGGCGTGAAATCGCACAAAAAAAACAGCCGTGGCACACGTGTACGCATCCCCCCCCCCCCTCACACACACACACACACACACGCACACACACACACACACACAGCTGTACCTACCAGCTGAAAGTATTCCAGGCTCACGGCATCCCAGGGAAGAAACCCCTCTTTCCTGCGGCAATCACAAATAAAAGCCATGAACACAGCTACAAGTTGAGTAAAGCCCATGTTTAAGAGCATCCACCACCATGAGAGACTCTGCCTTATGATGACTGGCAGTCTCACTTCTCTCAAGCATCACACTATGTTTCAACATCAATTCAGATTTGTGCATGAAGACCACAGGTACGACTTCGACTTTTGTGCACAACGAGATGTAAACTTGACTGATCGTGTGTGTTTATGTATCTTTATATGCCTGAACTGATCCCATACAGTACCAGAATGAGATAGATGTGAATACAGCAAGGCCAGGCAGTCATCGCCACTAGATAATTGCCCAAGAGAAAACACCCTGACAGGGATGCAGGGCAAAAGGAGCACTGCGATAAAAAGCGCTCTAGATACACATAGAGCAAAGCGTGATCCAGTACTGTACCTGAAGACCGATGGGTTGTGCATGGCAGCACGTGCTACCATTACAGACGCAGCTCCTGCACGAGCACACACACGCATGCATGCACACCCACCCACACACACACACACACCCACACACACGCACAGACACACAGACACAGACACACACACACAGAATGGCATAGACACCTGCTGAAAAGCTGTACTGCACCTCAGCATGCACATGCACAGCTTACTAGTAATATTGTGCTGTATACATGGACGGTAGCTGTCTGTCTGATCGTCGGAAAAACATCAATCGCTTTCCAGTTGCATAACAAAAATCGGACAGAGCCTGTGTTCAACTTCCTAGATTCTCAGCACACATTAAAGCCCAAGCCCTGGTGTTTTCAGTGCAAAATGTGGAAGAGTTTGTATCAATGAATCCCACTAACGCACCTGTTGCTTTGCGAAACTTCTCAATGTCGTCGTAACGGGAGATCTGACGTGAGCCACCGCTGTAACACACACACACACACACACACACACACATACACAGACACATACAGACACACACACAGACACACACACAGACACACACACAGACACACCACACACACACACACACACACACACACACACACACACACACACGCGCACACACACACGCCCGCACGCACACACACGCGCGCACACACACATACTTACTGTACTGTACTTGTTGCTCACTGCCAAAACTGGTCACGTGGGTCCCCCCGGGAGAGGGGAGAGAGACTCAAAAGGAATCTTGGAAAGATGACTCAATTGGTTATTGAACCGCCCAACGGCCGACACCCCCTGAAATCCCCAAGACTCTGGGTGGACTTGAAAATGATCCCACTTATGGGCTCACCACACCTCAGTAAGTGGGTGAGGACAAGGTGCAGAAAAAGGATTGACGGCATCAGGGTATCCGTCCCGGGGTCCAACTGCAGTTACCCCTGCCCCCTGCCCCCAGTGAAGGTAATACTTGCTACTAGTGTGAGTGGCTAAATCAGAGTGGATCTGATAAAGGCATCACTAGCACCATTGATTACACAAGTGTTAATCTAGCCAGAAGCAGTCCATGGTTAACAGGTATGTATACTTCAAATAAAAAAAGTATACGAACCCTGGAACCAACAAAGGTGGCAGGTACAACATTACACCTTCATTCCTGTTGGCAACAGACCCAACACAATCAGGCATAAGTGTACCTACCAACCGAACTACCTGACACACACATACACATACACACACACAAACACACAGAGTTTTCGAGCTAACGATTCTATCAATATTTACATGAACGAGCTAACAGCCTAACAGCGAAACAATGCAACATTGCCACGAGAACAAATTCTAGTATAGTTATAATACAAATTCAAAGGATCAGTCAGGGAAGTGAACTGCCTGAAAAGAGAAAAAAATGCCAGACCCACCAGGACTCGAACCTGGGACCTTGCTTGTCATGAGCAATGCTCTAACCACCTGAGCTGGTGGGCCTGGCATTTTATTCCTTTTCAGGCAGTTCACTTCCCTGACTGATCCTTTGATTTTGAAGTTCTCCCAAACCTTTCAAAATACTTCGAAGTATTTACAAATGCTATAAGTGCGGTTGTAGTATATTGTCCTACAATCTTCCGGGTCTATGTAGTAGTGCACATCTTACTTTGCAATCACAGGTAGCGACGTAGACTCGACCACTGCTTTGATCAGGTCGACGTGACAGGCCGTTGAGCTGCGCTGATGCTTGTACCTACACCAGCAACCAACAAGTGAAGAGAAGACCATTACATCATGTACAATGGTGACATACATGTACGCATTGTGCAACACCAGCGACTGGTGCCGAGAGAACTCGCCAGTCACCAGCTATGGAGAATTTATTGCAATTGCACTGAAAGGCCGCGGTAGTCAAGGTGTTAGAGAGATGATCGATTGGCCTCCTAGTACTAAAGAATGTGTTTGCGGATGGTTAACTTCGGGAGGTTCCGTGAGGTTTGCAGAATTGTCCTACTTCGAAGTAGAACAATTGAAATGCTTCACGATGTCGAACTCGGCGGCTGCGCCGTCGACATCGCCCACGTTGAACCTGCAGATGCCTGCTCTCATCCAGCTGCTGGAGTCATAATCTCAGGAGGCTGTGGAGTGGGAGTCACGTCCCGCTGCCCTGCTACCGCAGCCATCTGTCCAGTCCTCCACCTGCACAGGCAAGATCACGCTGCAGTGGCAGAATATGGGAGAACAGTACATTAAACACTGCCAGGCATACCTGCCATGAAGAGCTATAGCCGCAACGCCGGTCGACTCCACCATCTTGACAAATGATATCGTCTCCTCAAGCTGCAGCAACCAAAAAAACAAGACACAACGAAAATGTTCCTTCTTGTATTACCTATTGTGAGGTAATTTCTAACTGATGATCATCACAGGAAAACGTTCTTGGAAAACTCTTGACCTACATTGCCTTGTGTGCCGGAGTAATGAGTGTGCAGTTGATGTTATTCATAGCTTTACATAACAAAAATATCATAATAATACGCATTCTCACGTGCATAAAAAGTGTTTGTATTTGCTGAACGAACAAACAATATTCAGGTGGTTCAGCAAGCCGAATAGGCAGCCAGACACCATGCTAATTAATGTGACGCTGGTATACAAACAACAGAAGAATCATACGGTGTTTATAGGACATGACACACAACTTCTTTTAAACATCTGAAAGTATTTCCAACTTTCTAATGTATTCGGATGCGACCCACACCCTATTTTAGGGCATATAATTTTGAAGATTTCAAAGATCTGCGAAATGTATGGAATGTTTGGAACCCCTATAAAAATTCCAGTTTTACAGTACAACACAGTCACCACATACTACTGCATACCGTTGGTAAAAGGCGGATTTTGCACGTGATCGGCACTTTCACACCCTTGACCAGAGTCGACAGAATCTATCAGAAGGGCAGGCAAATACGCACAGACACGAGCAGGCACACGCATACACACATGTGCGTGCACGTACGCACCCAGAAAGTGCATATGCTTCAATTCACACCATGCACATGTAAAAAAAAGAAGAGTAAATTATCGTGTCCGTTCCCGAAGGGAACTCACGACGGCCGCTAACACCCGGTAAACCCTATGTACATGTACCGGTATTATAATGATCCTCAATACAACGCCACTAGCTCAAATGCAAGTCCTCAGATATTACTCTTGATCTTTTGTGCAGACACAAATACCAAGGGTGAATGCAAACTCAATTCGAATAGAAGCCTAGCCATCACACGTTTATTGGCACAGGAATTAACCTGGCGTTTATACACAACAGTACGACATAACACGTATCTTGAACCCTGACCTCTAGCCCAGCCCCAACATACGCTGTGTGTAATCAGAGCCTGCATGCTCCATGTCTGATACAGTTGCTCAGGAAAACTCTGAACAGTTTGTGTAGCTCATCATTTACCTCGCGAACTTGCTCAGGCTTGCTAAGGAGAGCAGCGCCCATACCACCCTGCAGGCAAATAAAAGGATAATACATGTACACAACGGCGCAACCGCCCACAAATGAGAGATGAACAAACAAAAATAGTCCCGCAATTCGTTGTGCAATTCCGCGGATACATGTACATATATTTCAAGTATAAGAAAGTGAAAACTTGAAGTACGTTGAAGTAGATTCAGAACAGTTTTCTGTCAGTGTTCATCAGTGGCCCTTCATCAATAATGAAAATAAGCAAACAAAGCAATACGACCATGTGCGTACTGTATTATATAAAACGGCTAATTTTAGCGCCGGTGATATTTTAAAAAATTTAGCGAAAGGAGGGGTTTCGCTAAAGTGTTGCAGCACCAATCGAATTTTTCCATGTACATGACGATTGTACAGTGCGGTACTAGTCATCTTTTTCTTTTCTCTTTAACTCTGAAACCCGGATCACTAAAATATTCATCGCGAATTGGTCTTGATTCAGAAAACGCTAACATTTTAGTAATTGTTTACCCGCTAAGCTTAGCCATTCTACAGTATTCCCTTCGGAAGTAGAGAGAACAAGCAAGTTAGTCTTACACCATGCACTACAAAGTATCGTCGATCCCCACCTCCTTCCCCACAGATAGCAATGAACTCTGTGTGTGTGTGTGTGTGTGTGTGTGTATGTATGTATGCAAAGACCCTTGGAGTGCCTGAGGACATTGGTCACATCGTACGGGAACGGCGTTTGCGCTGGCTTGGACACGTGGCACGGATGGAAGATCACCGGTTGCCGAAGTGTGCTCTCTTCGGTGAACTGCCTGCCTTGCGCCCCGCGCATGGTGCACGCAAGAGGTGGAGGGACGTCGTTATGGATGACTTTGCGTCGGTTGAGCCACCGGTACCAAAATGTGGATGGTACGATGCAGCCCAAAACCGCCCGGAGTGGCGTGCCATTGCCCGTCGACCACCCAAGGCACCCTCTGCTGCTGGCTACGGTTGCGCCTGCGGCCGCATGTTCCGTCGAACGGCGACCTGAAACGCCATCAGTCATTCTGTCGTGGACTGGAGAAATAACAATGCGCTATGATTGCTACGCAATGGGCAAGGTCAAGGTCAAGGTGCGTATGCGTGTGTGTATGTGTATGTGTATGTGTGTGTGTGCGCACGCGTGTGTGTGTGTGTGTGTGTGTGTGTGTGTGTGTGTTGTTGTTGCTGTTGGCAAGCTGTGTGGTCGCCTGTTACAAAACCGCCTGCAGTTGATTGCAAACCGTGACCTTCCCGAATCTCAGTGTGGGGTTCAACCAGGCCGCGGCTGTATGGATGCTGTCTGCTCCGTACGCCAACTCGTGGAGAAGTCATTTGAGCACCGGCAGAAGATATTCTGCATCTTTGTGGACCTCCGCAAAGCGTACGATTCGGTTCCTCGGCAAGCCTTCTGGCAAGCTCTGCTAAAGCTTGGTGTCCCTTCCAGCCTCGTCTCCGTCATCGAGTCCTTCCATACCAACATGGAGGTTTCCGTACGAGTTGCTGGTGAGTCCTCGGGCACAATCCATGTGCAAAACGGCCGGAGGCAAGGCTGTGTGATGGCACCAGTGTTGTTTAATTTGTTCTTCGGCTTGGTTAGCGTTGGCGCGAGACTTTGACTGAGCGTGATATTGATGCTGGTGTGTCCTTCCGTCATGTTGATGGTAACCGTTTCCTGCATTCTGTTCGACGAGCACAATCGACGGAGGTGACAGACTTCGAATATGCTGATGACGCTGTGCTCTTTCTCTCCGTGCTGCTAAGGATTGTCTAGTTGCTTTCTATGAAGTAGTGGACTCGTTTGGTCTGTCCGTCAGCATCCCCAAAACGAAGTTTATTGTTGCGGGTCATTTTGCCTCTGAGGCGGATTGTGCTCCCATCCTGGTTGCTGGCGACCAAGTCGAATGTGTACCATCTTTCGTTTATCTCAGAAGCATCATTACACCTGAAACCAGATCTTGTCATGATGTCGCTCGTCGCGTTGCTAACGCCGCTAAAGCATCTGGTGCATTGTTGGAGGTGTCCCGGGATTCGACAACGTCTCTGTCCACCAAGAGACATTTGTATTCTGCCTGTGTCGTGTCAATACTGCTGTACGGTGCTGAATGTTGGACACCACTCGAAGACAATCTCAGACGTATAGATACCTGCCATCGACACGTGGGCTTTTATGTCCCCACGTGACTAGATTGCAGCAGATAGGCCTTGTTATTTTATTTGCCTTGTTATTTATTTGCTTTCCTTTATTTATTTGTCTTCCATAAACGGACTTTATTCTGCGCTTCATGCACCCGGCCGATGCCTGGCGCTTCTCATTGGGTACGCATGGTTGGAACCTGAGCTGGTACGCTCTCTTCGTGCTGTAGTACATACACATTATTACTACTATTGGTACACACTGTTGCATGCGGGTGCGTCAACCTCATGGCTGCGACTGGATATTACTGCTGTAACCTTTTCGCTCGCTCTCTCTCTCTCTCTCTCTCTCTCTCTCTCTCTCTCTCTCTCTCTCTCTCTCTCTCTCTCTCTCTCTCTCTCTCTCTCTCTCTCTCTCTCTCCTTCTGCCCTTGATGCGGAAGCTTTGGCGTTCGTCTCTCTTGCCTTGTGCTCTCTCTATTCATATTGTCTCTTGATTGAACTAAGTTACCTTCTTGGAAGATGTGAGTAAACCCGAACGCTGGCGTGAGTGTATGTGTCTGAATATGTCTGAGTGTGTGTGAGAGAGTATGTCTAGGTATATATGCGGGCGTGCAAGGGTAATTCTGTTGGTGGACTCTCTCCAAGTGGCCACCACTGCATGGTTTCGTAACTTTAGTAAGTTAGTTCATGTCTGACCGCATCCCAGGGGTCCAACCCCGGGCCGACCGGACACGACATTTGCAGCAGATTGCGCTGGAGGCCGTTCAGTCTACAGGTGCACTTGCAGCACGGGTACATCCACCGACACCCAAGCTTGTTCTCCCTCTGTCCAGTCGAGAGTCAACTATCCCGGTCAGTGGCAAATTCCAGTGTTCGATGACAGTGTCACCGCCAGTTCTCAGCATCCGGGTTGAAGCTGCACAAGTGCAATCGCCCTACTCGTCAACAGGGAGAAACCTGCCAAAACGAGTGTGTGAGTGTGAGTGTGTGTGTCGTGCCTTACCGTCAGTGAAAAGGGCTTGGGGCAGCCCATGTTGATGTCAATACCAGCTACATCATTCTCTCTGAGCAGCAACAGAGCACATATCATGGACTTCAGTACAATGAATTGAGTTACATAAGTAATGCAGTTTTTTTTAAGAAGCTTCAGGGTTTGCATTAGAATTAATTATAACGTTTCTGAAAGTGTAGGAATACCACTGCCCTCATGAATCAACAATGGCATATTCCATGCAGTGCTTCTCGTCTCTTCGAAGGCGTGGGATTGAATCCAACTGCTGCTAGCTTGCGCACCACTACTACTGTTCACTCTATCTAGACAACAGACAGCGGAGAGCGCATTGACTGAGCTTCCAAGGGCACATACACACACACACACACACACACACACACACACACACACACGCACACACACATGACTAGGACTCGAGAGAAATGACAAACTAGCAACAAGACTCTCACTCTCCAGCTGGAAACGATCTGGTACTGGCGACCACACATCTGTGGACCAAGGTATGGTTGGTACAGGAGACCATACATCTGCACACCATGGTATGGGTTGCTTGTTACAAGCGGTCCTATTTAGGTGCACCCTGGGATGGCCGGTACAAGCCACCCTATTTCGGTGCACCATGCGATGGTCGTTAGTTACAGGCTAAACCACACATGACTACTCATGTACCACTTACATCCGCTACAAACCCATTGAATGCAGACTACTCACACAAGTTTAGCGATTTGCAGTGCCCGTGCAGCACAGGATGTTCCCTATAGGCAAGGCAGAAAAGGCATCATGGGAAAAATAGTACGCACAGTCATCAAGTACTAGTAGCTATGGGATCAAGTCAGGCGACCCAAAAATTAATAGGAAAAGAGAGAGCGAGGCGACGAGGCAAAAGAACTGGAAGCAACTAAGCACAAATTGCACCTACAGTGCTGCGGAATGAAATCCGATCGCGTGAATCAAGTTCGCGCCGTGCAAAATGTTCACATCCCAGTGTTGATAGGTCTAGGGCTGCACGGCGCCCTCCATGATATTCACTCGCTTGATCGGATTCCATTCAGCAGTACTGTACATCAGACCATCTGGTAAAAGGAGAGCGATCGCTCTCGCGTGCCTTCGCTCTCGCGCGCCTTCACTCTCCTTATTTTCTTTTAGGGCGCACTTTTCGTCGCGCGCCTTGAGAATTTCGAGCGCATCCGGATTACTATGAAGTTCTGAAAACACTCAAATATTTCGTAACTCGGCTTTCCCTGAACGGAATCGAGTAATCGAAAGGTGTATTCGCATTAGAAAGTTCTCAGCTGTCGCCTCCAACAAATCGGAAGTCGATCCGAGGTCCAAAAGTGGAGGTACGGCACTCGCAAGGTATTTTACGTACCGTTGCAAATTTTCACTTCCGCACTTGGGTGGAAATCATAGTTTTTTGACATAAAGGATTTCCCTCTGTTGCGTGACAGTCCAGGCATGCATAGACCTGTGTGACGCCAGACACAGGTCTTTAGCGGTCAGCTACAGAAGAAAGGAGCGCTCTACGATGAATACTACAAAATACCATGGATCTTAGCGAATTGTCTCAATTTCCCACTGTGTGTGTCATTGTCCCTGATGAAAGGAAATTAAAGTTGTGGTCCGAACAGCTATCATTTGTAGTGCGTACGGCGATTTTCCAGAACGAATTTGGCAGCTATTGGGTATTGAATCCGATTGGGGTATGGCAAGATGTTGAAAAACCCCGTATTGTGCTCGCCTTGGATAGATAAGGCGAGCGACTTTTTTTTTGGGGGGGGGGGGGGGGTGGAGACTGCTCTCCCACCACTCCCCTTGAGAGGATAGCGAGAGTGATTCTTCACTCTCCTGAATTTTTCTTACACGAAGGTCTGTACATACACCAGGCAACAAGGTCATGGGGGGTAGAAGTGACACAGGAGCAGTTCTCACAAAAAAGGGAGAGCCAGCGCAATCGAATACGGTTTGTAAAGAAAAGGGGGAATATAGGAAAATATCTCTTAATTTGCTGGCCAAAAATCCTATATATAGGATTTGAAAATGTGTGCCTTTTATGCCGTTGTTATTGGTCATCACGACCAATAATAACGGCATAATGGTTTTCATGGAAGTTGTAAATATGTTTGAGGCATGAATGTTTACATTTTAGATTCATAGGGTGATAATATTTCTGATGAATACCCATTTTCAGCAATAATTGGAAATTTGAGCATAATTTTTCAGCTGCTGTCATGGAAAGGACTGAAGCAGTGAATGTGCAGAAGAACATTGCAGGTGTGGCACGGGGTGGTTTCTTGACGACATATCGCACATGCCGTCACGAAACTACCAGTTTTAAGGATAAAACAAGGTCCAATAAAATCTCAAATCCTATATATAGGATTCGAAAAATAGGGCACAGGCCTTAGTAATATTGGGCAAGGAGATGAGCCTGAGATGTTAGTGTTTGAAAAAATTATCTTATTCAACTCTCGATATCTACTGAGACCTAGCAAGGAAGAATTGGTCACATACTTTTTGCTATTCTCATGCCACACCCATTTTGAGTTGAAAAATATGACCAAAATCCTGTATATAGGATTTAGCAAATTAAGAGATAGGAAATATATTTATAGCCGCGATCAAGACAAGCTGAATCGACATTTGTGTATACTTTATTCATGCAATGTAAAACGGTGGACTATATTTATAGGAAAATACATATGACGAACATGCATCTTTACTCTGGCCTTGTTTCGGTCCAGGGCTCCCAAAAACTCAGCAGTACACTAGCTTTACTAAGTTTACAGAGAAAGCCGAAAGGGGGAGTGAGTGAGTGAGTGAGTGAGTGAGAGAGAGATAGAGAGAGAGTGAGCAAATGAGAGAGAGTGAGAGAGAAAGAGAGAGTGAGCGAATGAGAGAGAGAGAGAGAGAGAGAGAGAGAGAGAGAGAGAGAGAGAGAGAGAGAGAGAGAGAGAGAGAGAGAGAGAGAGAGAGAGAGAGAGAGAGAGAGAGAGAGAGAGAGAGAGAGAGAGAGAGAGAGAGAGAGAGAGAGAGAGGGTGCGGGTGTACATGCATGTATGGGCGCGTGACATACCATCTGAAAAACAACACGATTACGCTCCTCCTCACAAGTCCGAAACACGCAGTGTCCGTCTGACATGGCAAAGTCCACCGTACCCAGGACCTCTGCACAGCAGAGCACACACCATGGCAAGAATCAACAAAATCGGCTCAACAGACCATCTGCACCATGCAATGTGATGTCATCTGAATACATCTCTCTGGACAAAATGGGGTGCTTTGCGGATCTAAACACTGAATACTAGTACCCAATTCAGCCCAGAGGTTCACACACATCTTGTACCCACTTCAGCATTGTGCATCTGGTCTATTACGGTTGTCAGCTGGTAAGGCTGAAGTGGAACGTGGATTCACAGATTTACGAAAGCTACTCCTCTCGCATCTTCGGGATTTCTGTACCACAGGCCAGTCTGCTGACAGCGAGTGGCAAGCGTAGTCTAAACAGCTAGTTGGCAGTGTTGCCACATCATTCTAGCCAAATATCAGTAGCATGAAAAAATAAAATGCATCATCCGGGGGCTTTAGCCCCCAGACCCCCCCCCCCTATATAGCGACCACATGCGGCACTGATAAGAAAAAAAACATTTCACGGGTTTGCGTGACACTCAGGCTGAGTTTGCCGATTTTTCCCCGAGACGGATGATTTCGCTTAGCGCCTCAGGAGAGAGCTATGGATGTACTCGTGATGCGCAATAGAAGTCAAAAATCTGGACCATGGCTCCTAAACCATGCATAAGGTCAAACTTGAACACTTTCATGGCTGTTGTCGGCAGGAGAAGGTCAATTGTCGGCAGGTCGTGACATGCCTCAAAAATCGGCAGGCTACTGACATGTCGGCAGGTGTGGCAACACAGAGTTGGACAAAGTGACACACTTGTCATCTGCCCTGCCTCGACTCAAGGCAATACTTCGTACTGTTTGTCATCGTACTCGAGTACGCAACACACAGATGATGCAACACAGTGTATCTAGGAAAGCAAAGGACATCGTGCTCTCCTGTGAGAACTGCCAGGAGTTTTCCGGGGATGCTGCCATTGAAGAACTAAATATTGCAGTGGTGGGTCCATTAAAAACAGACCTGCATTGTACTGCAACACTGCATTCTTGAAGAACTTCACATCTATACAACCTTGTACGTGCTGACCAGGCTCTCCCCGTACCGGTTTTGCATGGAGTGAAACCCACATCGTTCCACACTCCACTCACCCGTGCCCTTTCCCCACTTGCTACAAATCCCTGGTTGCCACCCGGCAAACCCAGACTAGAGTGTGACACACAGAGTATTTAACAGTCAACTCACTGTTTTCCACACGAGTGCACGAGATCATCTTGAAGTCGATGATTTCCTGAAGACAGCACCAGGTACAGACACACGATAAGTAGATCGTTCAAATGTCAAACACAAACATACAGAAATGCTTCCAGACAACACACACGCACACAAACACGCGCACACGTGTACACAGGCACACACACACACACACACACACACACACACACACACACACACACACACACACACACACATACACACACATACACACACACACACAGTCATAAAAAATTCCAGGGTGACCTGTAGGGTATCCTCTGTAGCCTCTGTTATTACCATGCGTGGCAAGTTACATGTTGTCGGAGTGATTCACAAATGGGAATTGATGTTTCTAGTAGAACTCTCTACTGCTGAAAACTACACAGCGCAAACCATGGGGTTCACTATTATCTTGCACAGCTTGTCTACGACTCACTGTGACCATGCCCAGCATTTCCAGCAAACGAGGGAATAAGCCCGTGGTACCACTTGGTAGCAAGGCACCCGTGCCACACACACAAACAAAAACTAGTCAACCATACGACAAATGACTTGCAACTACTGGATGATGAAATACATACAGTTGTGCTAGGTGAAAGCCGACCCAACGTGCATAAAACTATTTGGCACCCTCAACCTGTACAGCCATTGACGCCCTCGCAGGTACGAAAGCTGCACGACGTACACATGTACAAGCACAATGACACAATGGGAACTGGGACAGGGCGCCAGTTTTGCACTTCGCGAGTTGGATTTCGCTTAGCGCAACTGTACAACGTTGACAGCAGCGCATGAGCACGCACGTTTAACTTGTTTCCTAAGAAACGGCGGGAACACTTTCCCCACGCATACTACGTGTATATCTGGCACTGTATTTGCAGTATTAGTACGCAACTAGCCTGCAATAGGCGCTGTTCTGCCACGTCTAGTTGCATGCTGTATGTAATCTGTGCAGGGTCCATTCACAGCACTGTTTGCGCTTGCACGATAAAACACTGTTAAGAAACGTACAGTAGAAGGCCAACATCTACCACCTGAAATTCCCGCCGAACTTTACCAACAGACATAGCGCAAAGCACATATCAAATACATGTACAATCGCTTCTCTCATGTCGTTACCACGTACACTTAGCACCCTGATACTGTTTTTGAATGTTGCCGTTAGAGTTTATCTCCAGTCACCTTTAGTGAATGCTATGTGTGAGTTCTGGAACATACCTCGCCTGCTTTCAACAGACTGGAATAATAAGCTTTCATTGTCAGATACATGACTGCAAGGTGTACATTTCAGGATACTAGTACTCCTGGGGCTGTATTTATATATTCCGTACATGTGTTGTGTATTTTTATCACAATACACAATGCTGACCTCTTCACACTTACATCACATGTGCACATGTGCAGCATGATCATAGGATTTGTATTGTGCTATATGTTTGAATATCAACACATTTTATATGTTGCGTGTGTCCTCGCGCTGTGCCTCTAGTCTTACTGCTGCTTGTATCACCTTTACATTCTATATCCGCTGTTGTACGGGTTAGCCTCTTTTCTGCCTGTACCCACCCGAAGAGAAGGCAATGAAAGTGCCAATGGAAACTTTCAGAAATGCTGCTTGCAAAGAGCCTCAAGTTAGTTCGTTCTTCAGTCCGAGGGCATTTTTGTCTCCTAAGAAACTATTTGCTGCATTTATATTTGGTGTCTACCTCCGCTTCCTTATTGATGCGCTGATAATGCCCGATGGACGAAATATTGGCAACGTATTGCATTCAAGTGCAGCTGAGAGCCTCTGGTTGGGTGATCAGGAGGTGTTTTCAATGGCAGGTAAGTGCAGTACATACGTACCACTAAGAGCATGTTGTTAAATTCACAATACACGTACGTCAAAGAATGAGTCATCTGGCAATACACCCCAAGACTCAAGACCATGACTGTAAATATTGTCTATGGGGTCTGCGAGGGCAGAATTTCACATAATGTGACAGATCAGTGCATCTTTGTACATGATAGCCTGAGATAGCTTCCTTGACCTGGCTTGGGCGGAAGTCTCTCAGTCTGGTAGTCAACTAGTTATTACTTGCATTTCTCTACCATGCGTAACTCAGTCTTCGCACCATGTCACATGACGTGAAACCTTGTAATGACCGCCGTTGTAGCTCTGCATTGAGAATGTGCAGGCAGTTGCATACTTTGGACGGTGTTCTGTACTTTTCCACTGAGACTGGTAAAGCTAGTTGTAAGTAATCTTCATATTACATACTAGTCTTTCTCCATTCAAACTTCACCAGCTTTCTCAACTATTAGACCTCCGATATACATGTAGGGTACCTCGCCTCTAGTATACGACAGCTATTATGGCTCCTGGACTGGTGCGCTGTGCTGGAGTTTTACTCCGCTACACTCTAACACTACAAACAACGTAACAGTAACACATGACGTTGCCGACAGTGCCACAAGTTTGGCAAATCAATTTTAATGATCCATTACCTCCGAGTAGACGATGTCTGCTCCACAGCGCAGAGCCAGCAAACGAAACGGCAAAGTGCCAAATCGTACCATCGGCGCCAGGATGGCCTTATCGCTGTACACCAGCGCCATTGTGTGCGATATTCGGGCCAGTAAGTAAACAATTTTCTACAAAATGAACGAGAGCCTTTTCCTCCCACCAAAGAAGTCAATGGAAAATGCCATGGAAAAGCTCCCAACGCCACCTACAAACCAGAAAGCTATAACCCAACTTATGGGCGGCCAATTGCTTGTTTTTGATCTAAAGAAGCACAATGACGGCTTCTCATCTCTTGCCAAATATTACAAAATTGTACTGATACATGAACATATACCGGTCATCCTCCTTTCTGCTTTTGCAGAATTTCAACAGAACACGTAACATTTTTTTTACATACACTCAAACTTTCATCATGACGTAATTAATGGTGCGGGGTACGTGACGTCAGATCAGCTACATGTATGTAAGTAATTAGTTATGTAACTGAGTTTTTCCTCTTGCTTTTTGTGAGTTTTGTCAGGTCAGCTTTGATCTGACTGAATGCGATGCGCGCTTCCGCTTTGTATGTGGCGCGCGCTAGCTAGCTTTGCCACTCAGTCTGACTACAGCGACTACAGCACGCACGGTACCTGCTTTTTCTTCTTCTTCTTTTTTTTACAAAGACTGCAAATGCCAAACATGTCATGAGCTCCACTACACTTTCTGGCCGTACACTACACACTCCCAATGGCCCTGTATCGGAAATTTCGGAATACTCCCTGACACTCGCCCCTGACACAGTTCACACCATACTAGGGCCAGTCACTGTTCCACAAGTCCAACTCCATATCCAGAGAATGAACAGTCGTAAAGCCACAGGACCTGATAACACTGATCCCCACCCAGGTCTACAAGCTCATCAAAGATGAGATCGCCCCGGCCATCTTCAAGTTAGCCAAACTATTTAACTAGCAAATGTGCGGCCTATCTACAAGCGTGGAGATAAAGTCAGTCCCATCCAACTATAGACCAATATCACTCTCCTGTCTCACATGTCTAAGCTACTGAAACATAATTATTGTACACGACCAACTAATGTACTATATCTATAATGCACCACCACCACTGTTACCCCTACCTGCTGAGCAATTATTTGCCTACCGCAGAGGTCACTCCTCAGCGGCGAGGACGTGCTCACCCCCGTGATCAACGACTGGATGCTCTCCTTGGACAAAGGTGATTATATCGTAGCTGCCTTTCTAGACATGTCAAAGGCATTCGACACAGTTATGAAGTTCCACTGAGTAGTAGCAAGAGTCCATAAACTGTTTATGCACTCTTGGTAGTAGTAGTAGTAGGAGAATTTATTATTTTGATAGGGAAGGCCCTACAGACGTTGCCGTCTTGTTACAGGGAACCCTAAGTGCTCTTTACAGAGCGAAACAAAAACGGATAGATGCTCAACCTGACGACACGAGACAGGCAGAGAATTCCACCTATCAGCGCCAAGGAAAGAAATGGAGAACATGCCATATCTAGTGGTAGCAGCGGGCAAAGAAAGTGAAGAGAATGATTGCCCTCTAGTGCGCCTCTCGGTGCAAGTAGCAGCCGACTGGAGGGTGAACATTGAGGAAAGAAGAGGACTTGTAAGCTGATGAATACAGCGGAAAACAAAAATAAAAAGCCTCAAGTTGAGACGAGATTCGAGGGAGTATAACTTAGCGTGCCGCAAAACAAAGACAGTCGGGGTACGGCGAGGGAGACCAAAAACCTGTTTCATGCTGATATGACTTAAAGTAACAAGGCGAGAGTATAAAGATGGTGTAAGACAGTGAGCATACGAGTTGCTGGCGTATTCAATAGTGGATTGGATGAGGGATAAATAAAATATTCGCTTAGTTGTGTGATCTACTGTACGGCGGCAGCGGCGGAATGCTCCTATCTTCTTATAAACAGATGTACATACATGGTTGACTTGATCCTCAAAGGTGAGGTGTTGGTCAATAATGAGGCCAAGATAACGCGCTGTGGCAGAAGGTCGAATATCGCGGACACCACCGCATGCAATGGAGTGAACTAATTACTTCTGGAGATCGGTGTCCGCGGTGGTACTGCCTTGCAGTGGTTCTGTAGCTACCTTACCCACAGGAAGCAACGTGTGGTCACCACGATACAGCAAGGCCTGACATACAGCAGCAACAGGGGGGTTCCGCAAGGCTCCGTTTTGGGGCCCTCTCTCTTCAACCTGTCAGTCAGAAAACTCCCCTCTGTACCCCAACACTGCAAGGCTCGACAGTACAACATTGTCAAAGTGAAAGAGTTCTTGGCGGCCAGAGGCTTACTGCTTGAGTCTGGGAGTGGGCAAATCAATGAGGAAAACAAGGAATACCAGTGACTCGATGATACCTTTGGAGTTGAATTGAAACTTAGCCATATTATTATTATGTTACGGGCTCCGGCGGGCAGTGTCGGTGCTAGTTGGTGCTGGTGCTGCTCCTCTTGCTGGTGGCGAGTGGAGCGCCGGTGCTAGTTAGCAACTGCCCTCGGTTGTGTCATGGTGGTTTTCTTTGACCATCAACCCAGTGCAACTTGTACAGGGCTGAGGCATGCGAGTGCTGCGACTTGACGCCGAACAGTGAGGCCTGGGAGATACGACCCCGGACAGATGAGCTTTAGGGCTCGGTGCTGTACCCAGTCCAGCTGGTTCGGGGTAGACTGGGACGCACCCAGCCATGAAAGTGGGCAGTACTCAAGTACTGGGTGGACGAAGCCGCGGTACACGGCAAACTAGTACTTGACTTTGTTGTCGAGGATTGGCAGAGCTTTCCTCATGAAGCCAAGCCGTTGGTGACCACGGACGGGAACTTGTAAATGCACCCCCACTTCCACTTTGATACAGAAACAACCATGTTGTTGGTTTGACAGCACTACAAACAAGGTGGAGGACATCAAACCAACAACATTTGTGAACTATAACAAGGTTTTATCTAATACTAGTACTGTACTATATTGTTAGGTTGACAGCATGAAACAAGGTGGAGGACACTGTGTTCGGAAGCAGTGACCTTACTACAACCTTCCGCGGTTGGCAGAGCCCCGGTCCCTGCGGACCATTTCTGCCAACCGCGGAAGTTTGTAGTAAGGTCACTGTTTCCGAACACAGTGTCCTCCACCTTTTTTCATGCTGTCAATCTAACAATATGCGTGAACTATAACAAGATTCATCTAATACTATCTAATACTGGTTTTGAACAGTATTAGGTTATAATATTAATATAGTACTGCACTAGTATTGTATTGGATTATCTAATACCAGAAACAACCATGTACCGATATGTTGGACTGTACGCTCAGCTTTTTTTTTTCCTGCCGTCTGAGTTATAGGAGACCTATAATTGTAGGACTCTCGTTCATTTTCAAGAACTTACGGTTAACTCCCTGGTTGAGATCCGTATCTCGGCCGGGTGAGCAGACGCTTGGTTCCCACCACTGGAATCTGGAGAAACTGCGACGGCCAGTGCCTCTTTCACTAGTACTAGTAGAGTCCTACGAATGATCGGCTACGATCAAGAGTCTATCCATACACGTGGTTATCACAAAGTGGTTATCACAACAACAGGGGGATCTCCCGTCTACATAACCCGTGCTTCCCAACCAGGGAGTAGTACAATGCTCCCTGTTCCCAACCATGGATTCTGTGCATATCTGGACTCCGAAGGCACGTTTTGGGCATACTGGTACATGTATACATGTACAATCATAGACTCAGAGTACATTGTATTACAATGTACTCTGAGTCTATGGACGCAAACGTAAACCACCTTCGCCCCACCAGGGTATGTAACTTTGGTCTAAATATTCCTGGATGCAAGTCAGATCAGCTTGTAAAGAAGTCAACACCTTCCGTGGGAGTCATGTACATACATGATTGTATCGGTTTCAGCTTTGTTGAGAGGATTCAGGATTGTATCTTTCTCCCTTTCAAAGTTTGTATTTCCTATAAAGCAAAACACATCTAAAAAAAGTTGCATTCATGTAGCTGGTTCTTAGCGCCCCATATGCATATACATGTACCGTTCACTAACTTGAGAAGTAGCGCTTAGGCGGCGAAACTGTGAGTTCCGCACTTGTTTCTTGTTGTAAATACTCGGCCATTCAGCTGGTAATGGCAGCTATATGTACATGTAATACTGACTAGTTTCATCTCAGGCAGAGACCTCCTTGATAGACACCTACTTCACTCTCCCCTTTTCACTGCGTACTCTGCGTGGCTGGCACTTCCCCAAGAAGCTAAGGACCTTTCTTCCCTCCGCCTTTTTAAGAGCCTTGTCGCGCCTTGACTTTGATTTTGTGTTTCTCATTTTGTTGCAATCACTACTTATCCATGCCGGTTCCTTTTTTTTCTTCTCCTCCCCTTCTCCCTTCCTTGCCGTGGTTGGCTAACACCCTCTCTCTTTGTATTGGCCGGTGTTCTCACTGTGCTATGAGATGCTGTAATAAATAAATAAATAAATGTAACATTGTATTTGCTTCGGACAGCCCTCAAGAAGACGACTGGAAAAGCAGGCTTTGCGGCTTTGACCCCTGCCCTTTGGCAGGGGTCAAAGCCGCAAAGGTGGAGGCTGATATATCACCTGCCGAGTCTACCATGATAATCTTCAGGAATCGCTTGCACAGCTCCTGATGATGATGATGGTCATGTGTTGAATCGGGTATTTCGCAAATAAATAAACAACCTATTGACCTCTGCACGATGAAGATGAGACCAACCACACACGATACAGTGAATAGTAGTCTTGGGCAGTCATTAATTTTACTTCCTACATGTACATGTCGGTCACGAGGAATCTTTTAGAAACAGGCTTACAACGGTGGGTTCGTACAAGTGATGGAACTCGCTGAATGAGAACATGCAGAGGCCAAGGTTGACCTTTGTCTGGCTCGGAGAGCTGGGATCAATGGTCTGGACCACTGAGTTACATGTAGTTGGCCCCTACAAGGCATTGAACTTACTTGAGTCAAGACTGAAGCCAACATAATTATGCTGGTAGTTTGACGTGCTGCCCCTTACAGCGGTCACGTGAGGGATTACATGGCGCGGTGCATGTGATTACTAGGTACATGACTACAATGTCATGGTGTCAGTGCACAGATGTCATCAGTTGTCAAAACGGTCCTGGATCGCACGAAGAAGCATCAAAAGACAGCAGTAGCATTGCACTGCACGCACGGTTTTGGTATGCGGATCATTTCCCCAAAACTACTTCTTAGCTAAAGATGGGTATGGTTGACGACATGATGAAGACAGCTTTCTGACGGCGATGCGCACTGTTGACGTGTGTCTATCATCATTATGATCGCCGTCCGTGCGGGTGAAAGGGTCTCATGCCATAGTTTTGAGATCGCGGAGTATGGCCTGATCCAGTGGCAGTGACGTGCCGACAAGCGTCGTCTTCTAGCTGTCAATATTCTGATCGAGAAGGTTTCCAAGTGCAAAAGCTGGGCAGCTGCCAGACGTCAATGTCTGGACATTATGTTCCCGTAATGCCGAGCGCATTCCCTTGCGCTATCTCTTGATATCATCGGGCTATCCGGGTCCCATGCAGGCATAGCACTTCTTTGACACTCAGACTCTAACTACTGTTATTATTACTCTATTATAATAGTCTAGTACAGGAAGTAGAGGTCTTCCAGCATTTGACGTGTCCATATGCCGGTATGCTAGACTCTAGAGTCTAGACTCGAGTACTTGTACAAAGTACCGGTAACCACAATGACATACATGTAGTTGTACCTTCGACTCGAGTTCGAGTGCAGAGCGTAGCTGGCCTAGCCGTCGTAGATCTAACTAGTACATTGTACTTAGCAGCACGTGACGATACCGATATTCATGAATGAGTCACGAGCTAGCTCTGCTAGCTAGCTAGCTAGCTGCTAGGGAGATAGAGTAGAGACAGCAGGGTCGTATTATTCATTGTGCATCCACCTGCCAGTCAGTACGGGCAGTCATATACCATTGTATACAGACAGTGTAGACTGTAGACTTGTAGTCTAGAAGAAGAAGATCAGACCAAACCGTGATCACGGGACCTGTCGTGCGATGACCTCTGCTACCCAACGTCGCCACGCGGACACGTCAGTGAGCTGAGCTGGAGTAGAAGCTACAAAATTTTCTTTTTCCGCTCTATTATAATAAGTGCAATCACTCTCCACAGGCCAGAAAGAAACGAACGTTGATGAAGCAAGAGTGCGATTAGAGTCCTGTGCCGCGGAAGCCGTAACCTCCTTGAAGCTCGTACCGTTCCGGAGTGTACTATCGCGATCAGTTGGCCGTCAGGATTGCTTGGTTGCTCGTAGCGCCGCCACTCACAATGGAGGCCTCCCAACAACAAAGAATGGACGAGCCAGCGCGTCAAGATGCGCCGAGCGAGCACATCAAGCTAGCACTGAAGCCCAAGATGATATTCTTCGTGGCTCTAACTCACCTAGGAGGCTTGGTAGGTCTTGTGTTGCTCTGTCTCAACGAACGCTGGTGGCGACTACTCTTAGAAGTCATTGTCTACTGGCAAATCGCAGGTCTAGGAATAACTGCCGGCGCGCATCGACTCTGGTCCCATCGCAGCTACAAGGCCAGCTCGCCGCTGCGCTTCATTCTGATGTTGATGAATTGCGCGGCGCATCAGGGCTCAATCTACCACTGGTGCCGCGACCACCGCATTCACCATAAATTCAGCGAAACGGACGCGGACCCGCACAACTCGCAACGCGGCATGTTCTTCGCACACATGGGATGGCTGCTACGGGACAAGCATCCTCAGGTGCTGAAGAAGGGTGGTGAGCTGGATCTAAGTGACTTAGAGGCCGACTGGGTGGTGACCTTCCAGGCCAAGCACTACAAAAAGCTGAGCACTTTATTCTGCTACATCCTGCCAGGTTTGTATGGCCAGTATGTGTACGGAGACTACTGGCTGGGGCTGTTTGCACACGGCCTGCTTCATCACGTGGTCCTCCTGCACTCCACCTGGTCCGTGAACTCGCTCGCTCACCTCTACGGCATGCGGCCCTACGATGATGCCATCCGACCGGTGGAGAACTTCTTCGTGTCGCTGTGCGCGGTCGGCGAAGGCTGGCACAATTGGCACCACTGCTACCCGTTTGACTACGCTGCCAGCGAGTACGGCATTCTGGGAAGGTACAACCCGACGAAATTGTTCATCGACGCCTGCCACCGCATCGGACTAGTTACTGGTCGTAAGCGAGCCATCCATCTGTGGGAGAGCAAGAAGGCACGCCTTGCAGCTGCTTCCGCCAAGAGGCACTGGCCAAGTTGATGAGGACGCGCCCATTCATGAAAGCGAGCATGGATACTCGCGCACAAAGAACAAGAACGTTTTCTCCGCCCATATGACATTCTATAATTATTATAATAGCGAGCCCGACTTGCCTTGAGCGCCAGAGAGCGCTCAGTCAGTGTTTGGCTTGAGTTTTTAGCAATGTTGTTGGGTGTACCGGTACTCAAAGTATCTATTATCGAAGTACAGGTCTGAACGCCTTGGATTTATGAAACTAGCCTTTCCGAGATTTCTAGATTTTACCACCCATGTCCAGACGTGTATATGATTCTCTCCATTCCTTATTATTCCATCAATTATGCCCTCCGTTCCGTGCTCAATGATTTATCCGCACTCAGCAGTGCACACTTAAATCTTTACTGTGACCTTGCACTCCGATCACCAGTGAGTGGGGTGGTTCAAGTGCATGCGTTCTAAGGGGATGGTGCTAGTTCAGGAAGTGAAGGGGGGGGGGGGGGGACAAGTAATTGGTTTATACTTTATAGTTCTTCAGGCTGAACTGGTAGCCTGCAGTTTCTTGTTCGCTCATTTGCCTGCACACCCGGTATACTAGTAGATAGACTTTTCAAATACCGTGAACTCCACTAGGAGCAGATAACAAACATGCAAACAAATGCTATGCAGTGTTAAGGTTTCGGCTATGCGGCGTTTACTGAGGCTTGATGATCGATGGTAAACAGCCACACATGATGTAGTACATCAAGACACTACACTACAGTAAGAATCGCGGCGAGTCAACACAGTGAGTGCCAGGGAGCAAGACAGGTTAGTGCAACCCCCAGACCTACCAGTGCAGTACCACTACTGGCACTAGTACTACCACTACCAGGCAGTACAGCTGTACTAGTCTACCAGTACCAATCAGAGAGTCGGACTCGTAGTCTACGTAGATCTACGATTCCCTGCTACTACAGTGCTGGCAACTGAAATCCGACCCCCTTGGCAGCGCGGCGCGCCGCCAAGGGTGTCGGATTTCAGTTGCCAGCACTGTAGTACTAATACTAATACTAAAAAAATAAGTAAGGCCATGGTAAAAAATATCTTTGATTCTCAAGTACGCGCGCATCGATTTTTGGTGGCGCACCGACGATTTTTTTTATTTCTATGCATGCATATGCGTGCATGAAAACGGTCAATGCGAAAGGCATCAATCCGGGAGTAGTAAAATACCGGTATTTTTCTACTCCCTGGCCTGAATAATAAAATAATTATAAATTAATTATGAACCTGTGACGTACACATGTGTGACCCTATCTTTGGAAATAAAAAAATTGTGGGAATTAAAATAAAA